TGAATAGCCTGGACATGGTGTTTCATTTGTTATTTCAAAAAGAGGCTATGCTAAAAACTACGTTGTTATTGAACCTTGAATTAACACACAGTTGACAAAGCATTTGAAAATATGGCATTTCGTTTTAAAGTTAAATTATCGCCAAATATCAAAGCCATATAGATATGCACAACTAACAGTCTTATTCACCGAAATATGTAAAAAGGACAAAAGCTATATTCACTAAACTGAATAAAGCATAATTTACACAACTTAGCCATAGGGTAGCTTAAGAAAGAAAAAAATCTATCTCTGGGAAATTGAATTACATTTTCAGAAAAATACAGTATATAATTTATACAAGAGGATAGCAGCAAGCCACATATATTATTTTTGATAAGCAATGTACTGTTGACATGACATCTGTACAACAATATGCATTTATTAACTACTATCTGATGATAAAGGATGTATTATTACATGATGTATTTTTTCTGAGCGCATGCCTCTTCCTCAATAACGACTTCTTTATGGGGTTATGAGGCAATTAAAATTGTCAAGTTATTGCATATTCTTGGGTCTTTCGGTAAAGTTACGTAGATAGCTTATTTTCTTTGAACCTATCTACGTGACTTTACCGAAAGACCCATAGAATATGAATTCCTGCAGTCACTGAAGCTTTAAGTCAAGATTTAAGCTATTGCATGTTCTTAAAATTAGACTCTGGCCTCATACACATTGCTGTGTTTATGGCCATTGGCAATTAATCTTATCAATGTCGTTTTTGAGCACATACTCACCAAATAACTACGGAGGAAAACAAACTCCTGATTGTATTCCTTCGATCCCATCCCAGCCTATGCATCAACATTACAGGATTTTGCATATATATGAAAAACAAAGCACGGTTCATTTTGTCGTGCCACTTAATACAGAACAGCCATCTAACATTCCATTTGGTTTCCATTGCCTTCTCCATGTTGTGTTCGAATAGGATAGGCTAAAACATATAATTTAAGTGGGGCCTCTAATATCTTCTTTTCAATTGGAAAGCATCATGCATGTCAGGGAGATGGGCAGCGAGGTAAGACGGGGTGTATGGATACAATGGATGTTACCTAGGACGTGACTGCACCAAAACAAAACCAGTGAACATTGCGAATTCCAACAGACATTCGCAGGGAACACACAAATTAGGCACTGCCTCAATTGCCTGAACCAATTATCTCCGCTATCAATATCGTTATTGTTATCGTGGACCTGTTACGTAAATAGCAATACATTATTCTAAAAATAAAATCCAATAATTTGACTCATCCCAAAGTCCACCCTGCACTGCTTTTATTAAGAATGTGATCGATGAATTCTCTGACTCTTGCAAATTAACACCACAGAGGAAAAATCAACTAGGTTGCAGATATGTGCATTACACCTGCTAGTGTGTGAAATATAATTTGTTATATATTCAATATCCTGAGTTCCCTTTACAACCTCCAGCAAATATCCACACTCAAACAGTGAATAGCACAATCCCAACGACATTAAGACGCATATGGGAGGGTACTACTTTGCTATGGTGTTTTGCAAAGGATATTGAGAGAATATCTTAATTTTATGAAAAAGCTTTACATAGTAAATGGGTTACCTTTAATTTCTCCACGTCAAAATATGTTTTAGTCAATGATCCCAATTGGCATTTTGGTTTACGTTATTTAGCAAGTAAATTCAGGCCCAGTTTGAACCCTGAGGGTCTCATAAGCAGAGTTGGGTTGGTTAAATACTGTTTGGGTTGTCAAATGTTATTGGAAAAGCACTCGATTTGCAAGATGGGTCCCTGTTGTTGACAAAAACGAGGATAATTTGAGGTAACTATAATAGGATGAATTACACGTCAAATACAGCTTTGCTCCAATTATAAATAACGTAAATAACCATCCTTCCTACGTATAAAAATGATTTTTCCCTCAAATAAATTAATGTAATTAATCTATTGTTTTTAAAATAATATGTTTGGCTATTATAACTAGAAGATACATTAAATACACCGGCATACGCGATGTTTATATGACAGTAATTAAAATAGCACGGCTACCTATCTCTCCCAGGAAATGCGATGATTTCTTAGACAACGGTTTGCGGATCAATGAACGCTGGGCAGAGCTCACACGCTCAACGCCGCACAATGAGCCGCACTTGATGGGAGGTTTTCAGCACCACAAAAGTGGACAGCGCTGCTCGATTCAAAATCAGCTACGCTCCACCTAACTTGGCGTTTTAACATGAAATCCGACTTCACATATTTTATTTCAACACATTGTGCGATTTGTGCAGACCCAAAATGCCAACAAGCACTGACATATTAAAAAATATATAAACCCTCAACACCTTGGCCAATAGCACTGCCCTAACAGGAAAACAATACTGTAATAGGCGACGTTTCAGGTAACGGCCCTTCATCGTGGCAGATAACAGATATAACAAGCACTGGCTTGCTGCGTAGAAAAAGTGCTTTACAAAAACTGTCACGTTGTGTGTGTGTATATACTTTATATATATATATGCTGCACTGAGGCCAAGGACGCCCTGACGTCTCGCTGTGTGTGTGGAAATTCGACGAGATGGCTCCGTTAATAAGCGGGTGGGAGTGATTGAGAGGAGAGAATAGCCTCGTGTCACGTCCACACGTCCACTTTGGTTTCATGTGGAATCACCGCTGACCCGCTGATGTCGACGTTTTTTCTTCATCTTCTTCTATTTTACTGCGGCACTGGCTATACGCATGCTTACATTTGCTCTACACCGATTTGAACCCAGGATCAAAGGATACCTGTATATGTATTCATACGATCATGTGTGCATCATAATAGTGTGCCATCAGCCATGTTCAATCCACTGCTTGATGCAGACATCTGCGCGTTATTACTCGGGACCAATGCCAATTCCACACACCATATCAAATCTAAACCACACGCGCGATTCCATTACGCACGATTGCATTTTATAAACACAGGCACGTGCATATATGCCGTACCGTGATTATCAAGTATTAAACGCATATAAGCCACAATTTCATTGATAGGCGTATTCACCTAGCATGTGAACGTCCCGTCCTATAAAGTGCCGTTTAATCGTTACGGTTACATTCATTAAAGTAATATTTGTGCCTTGATTGTACAGTAATGTATTGTCTATTCTGTCTATAATTTACTGTCTAGTCTATACCATCCATCTGTACTGACCATACTTCATAATGTGTACTGTCTCCTATATAGTATGAGAACTCTGTATACCGTCTACTGTATGCATTTGTACGATTTGTATTGTCTCGATTGTGCTCTCTGCAGTGTATGCCATCTGTACTGACTACACTCTTGGTTTGTGTTCTTTGACACGTACTGCCTTGCTTGTACGATCCGTGCTCCCTGTACCCTCTAAATAGTGTATGCTATTGATGTTCTCTCTACTTTGCACAGTCTCGTCTGTATTGTGTCGTCAGCACTGTTTGGTTTGTCCCTTTTGTCTTTCCCCCCGTCCGTCCGTACATGAACACAAAAGGGTAATTAACGAAAAATTTACATAACTTCATACCAATCTATTTCTACACGCACTATCGCGACCCGAACAATCTATTAGGAGCGATTGTTACGCGCCTAAAATATTAAGTCATAATACAAACACACACAGGACTACCCCACACATTCGCACACGAATACAAACATCTATTTTCTATGCAACAGTATGATTTATGTCTGCGTACAATTTATTACACATGCCATATTAAAATTAACGAAGGAGTTGTGAGCCCATTGCAGTTGCATTAGTAGTAACCATACACGCACACATATAAAGAGTACACACCTAATGTTAGCCTATGAGCAAATCATCCCAAATGCGCCCTGATCTTATTACAACTCCGAAGCTAAGCAGGTTTTCAGCCTGGTTAGTGCTCGGGATGGACGACCACTAAGCGTAAAACTGGCTTTGTAGGTAATGTCGACTACTGCAGGGCTACATTGTCAGCAGACGGCAGCGGAGCAACATCTACTGTTGTGCTGTACTGTTGTCCAACGTCTATGCTACTCATCTTCACCTACCCTTACTGACCAGCGTGAAGTATGATCGAATAACGCTGGGGCAGACCTCATCCAGCAGTGGATTGTCAGAGTCCACACATGTAGTGTTGTGTTCAGCCTGTGTCAGTGTTAATCTCGTGTCTCTACACCTGCCCGCATGAAAATATGCCTCGCAACATTATTCAACAAATCAGTTTAAGCCATTCGCAAAAACGTTATTCGTTTTTGCGATGCATACTGTACAGTATTTAAAATTCAAGACATTTAAAATCAGGTATCCACTTAACACCCACGTGTTCTCAATGAGCTCTTATTTCTTAGTCATGAAGGTCAAAGAGAAAAATATGTGGTGAGAATACTTCGTATAAAATATGCTTGTATAGTTTCAGTCCCTACGACGAAATCATCAGATCTCAAACTAAGCTGAGCATTGTAGGACTCGGGCTGCTGCAAGGTGGCCAGGATATGCCAGTACAGCCATGGATTCTTGGATCCATCTGTGCCGAGTTGTTGGCATTACACTTACTTGTATTGTGCATCGTGGGTTCTCCCACATGCACAAATACTTATCAATGGAGCTGCTCACCATTCATGCTAATGCAGTTCCGTGTTGGATAATGTGTGTAGAACAATTCGTATTCAGTGCTGTTTCATTATTCCAAGATAAATAAATAAAGCCTCTCCCCACGCCATATCGATCACGTGCAATGGGGGTGTGGCAGGGAATTCGCCATACTTCACCACGCTGGTCAATGCGGATTGGGGGGCAGAACCGGTTCAGACTCTCACTCCGCCACTGATGTTCGCCGCGAATAAGAATCTCACTCACTCGGGTCGCCGCGGGGGTTCATAACGCAGTGCGCTAACCACTACGCCACCACTCCACCAGTTATTCCTGTATACGAAATACACCGTCCACATCATCACCACCACCACCAGCAGCGTTACCTATGACAGAGCCGGCCAGGATCACGACCTGCACCCCGGTAGCGAAGTCCCGGTAGTGCTGCATCTGCCAGTCCAGCATGGCCAAGGTGCCCCCTGGATCGGTCGTATTGTCCGGTGGCAACCCTCTTCCAGCGGCCAGCGAGGCTGGAGTTGGGCCACCACCACCTCCTCCTCCTATTCCTCCTCCTGCACCGCCACGTCCACCGCCACCGCCGTTGTCCGGGTCACCCTGGGCCCCTGAGCTCCTGGCTTCCGACACGGAGAGGATGGGCAGCTGCCCGTCCGTAGCTAACGCGTACGGCACGTCCATTGCGACACACCGTTGCTCAAGGGAGACGTGTCTGTGTGTGTGTGGAGATATAAGAAGATGTGTGTGTGGATGAATATATAGAGAGACAGCCCTGTGTGTGCGTGAAAGTGGCAGAGATGGAGTAGATGGGGACCCCTGTATTTAGAGGGATGAAGAGACGGAGACCCTATGCTAATTCCCCATCAACACTCTCTCTCTCTCGCTCTCTCTCTCTCTCATATACCTCAGTGCTACCCTCTCCTCGCCCCAACCATCCTCCCTTGTCCCTCCTACGATTATTGAACGTGATGCCTGCACCACGGCATCCGAATGCGCATGTTGCCTAGAAACCCCCTGCTGGCGACTGCGTGCGAGAGAGAGAGAAGCCCCTTTGGAAAATACGAAACGTTTCCACCTTACCGTTCACAATGTACGCACGAGATGCGCTATAAATATAACTAGGAGCTGACAATGATTCATAATCAACGTCTTTGGGTTAGATCACGTTATTTATAAATGTGTCGTAACCCTCCACCACCCGACACGGCCAATCAGCAAAAAAGTGTCACGTTGACAAAACACAATAGTTCACTACTTTAGCCCACCGGTGTGTTGAAGAGTGAAACCACAACATTTACAATTTTTGAGTATGACGTTTTGCTGGTGATTGCATCCAGCATCATCGGGCAATTCGCCAGAATGGTGAGGCTCTGCTCTTGCTCCCGGTCTTAAAATGATGACCTCTGTCGGATTTCTGTCGGTATTAGCGTCACACTCTTATGATATTTTCTCCATTGAGTTGTATAAAATATTGTCATATCTGGCTTTCACAACAATGAAAACCCCCATTTGCATCAACCCAAGACAACAACAACAACGGTAAAAAAGTAATTGCCTCACAATATTTGTGACCCAAAGTTGACAATTTTCTTTAAACGTGTATCACCCATCATAAGCTCCAAATACTAGTTTTCATAGCTATAGCTTGAAAAATAGTATATGTGGGGGGGGGGGGCACTATTAGATTGCATAATCTGATGTCACATTTAGATTCATCTCATGGAAAACCTCCAGCCTCAAAGTACCCATTTCAATCGAGCTATGTTCTAGAGCAAACATCTTCACAAGTATTGCCAATCCCCCTCCCCCTCAATAAAAATTTTGGGATCCAACATAAACAAGTACAATATTTGTATTTATTTGTGCTAAATGTACGTGAGTTTCATGCCCCTTCGAGAACACAGTTTACGAGTCAGGCATTCGCAATACAGTATATACCATGTATTAGATATGTATTTTGTATGGCAGCTGATAGTGATGAGTGTGGTGAGATTTGTTTTTATTTGCGCTTATAGAAACATTTCCACGTTTTAATATGTTGAGGTTGTCTGTCACATCGTAGATATAAGCAGGGCTGCTCTCATACAGCTTATGAAAGCAAGCTTATCAGTCGTGTGTAATTGTATATCTAAGAGAGCAGAGAATGCCCTCTTAGGTATAACAACAGCGTGCCCCACTTGGTAAGAATGCATTACATCTTGAATTGAATACGGTGATGATAAAATTACCGAACAGTACAATCACGGTTTAAAGCGACACGGTAGCAGATCAGTGCTTATAACAAAAACACATCGTTTCTTTCATTTTATAGATGATGTCTGCAGAATGTCGAGTGTGTGGAAGCTTAGCACGATGCAAGTGGGATGGAGGCACAATATACGTACTATGTTGAACTTCTTTCGCACCGTATGCAACCAACCATGCAAACCGGAGGTGCTGGGGAAGGACAGCAAACTAAACACAAAACGCAGTTCGAAAGAAATTCGTTTTCAATCGGGATTGGAAGATCTTGACAGAACATTTTAATTTTAATAATGTTCAATGTGTTGATGTGAACCCAGCATTTTGATAAAGTTTGGGATCTTTTCCCCCCATAATGCACTGGTATCAGACAATTTGATGGTTGATAAGCTGATAGTCACACTCACGATTTGGCCGTATACACTACAAATCCCTTAATCTTTCAGCTGACAGCACACAAATGGCTGTGCATTCTACAGGATCATCCCTGCCACTAATGTACAGCGCTTTATCAATTTACTGCTGGATGAAGACCACTCCGCACATTTCAGCCATGGAGGGTTGTTTGATTTTACTTAACCACACTTATTTTCTTGGTTCTTTCGGTAAAGTCACGTAGAAGGGAAATAATATGTTTTATTATTTTATTATTTCCCTTCTACGTGACTTTGAGAGTGATGTCACTCTCATGCACTGACTGGAATAGCAACACTACACAAACTCTCTCCTGTATCCCTCTCGTGGATAGAATACCTCAACGTTGGCATTTACCTCCTGAACATATTGCCACCCGCAAGAATAGAACTGTCCATTTTATAGCAGATGGCAAGACATTGGGAATTCCCTAGACAAACCACCAGGTGGTCACAGGAATAAACTCTATACAAACTGCCCCCAGTGGCAAGTGTGCTGACCACGAGGCTCAGAAATCGCCTTCGAAATGTTCTAACCCAAAATGTTTTGTTGTGCCGAGGATAATTACATTCCTTTTATGACACTCACAATGGCCCAGTTTATATATATACACACACACGTGTGTGTGTACACCCGCACAGAGCAATTTTAATAAGTGGTGTCTTTTAGAGCGTGCTCATAAAAACAACCCATGAACTTATATCCAGCTGTCAACACCCACAAAAGCACTCACACCTGCTAAAACGAGACGTTTTCCAACCGATGCCACTGCCCCTATAGTACAGGGTGATTCATTTATAAAGAAAAAACCTCACTAAAACATTGGAGACAAACTAGATAGAATCCAACATTTATTTGAAAGCCTCTCTACGTGTCTCCCACCAATCTCATTACACCAACACTCTCCTCTGTAAGATACGGAGCCATGACTTTAACGACACTATATTCAATAGCCGGTTAAGAATAGAACAAGAGGGTCATTATAAAGCAGTGGTGGATTTATAAATGTATTCAGTTAAAATGAAATACTAATTTCAATGAAATGCTGTTTTTTTGTCCATTAAAATGTTGACGATATTTTGAAATGGCGTTTTAAATCGGGAAACCTTGTTCCAAAACCCAATTATCGCAACTTGTTGAACATGCTGAAAAAAACCGCAGACACATCTGGTGGAGAGAAACAGAAGCAAACAGGCAACAGCAATTTCCATGGAAATAGCACCGAGTCTCTGGAATGTAAGACAAATGCTTCGTCTAAATCTGAAGTGTCTCGCTGCGCACGAGCCATTAAATGTCCCTCCAAACAAACACCAAGGGACATTAAAAAGACTGCCTGGTGCAGTGGTAGATCGGGATGTTAAAACATCACAGGGAGTTAGAAATAGATGTTTTCCCCATTCTCTTGTCACTTTTTGATGCATTGGTGGGTTAGAAATTAATTATTATGGAAACATTATCAAACAAAAATAGACCTGAATATTTATATGGGTATAAAACATTTTATGCCCTGGAATTAGTTGCAAGACTAAAGCCATGATGTGATAGTCGTGTGCTCAATTAGTAACTACACTACTATTTTTATTTTACCAGGTTTAAGTCCACTAAGCGATGTAGCTCTTTTTTCGGAAGCAACCCAGCCACGAAGTCGTTTATCATGTGGAAATGTATCGCAGCCAAATACTCTAAACGCATGTTTCGAAATGTGGGGGGGGGGGGGAACTCGAGGACCCGAATAAAAATCCACGCAACCACGGGGAGAACATGCAAACTCCAAACACAGACGTCAGGGTCGGGATTGAACCCACAACCATTCTGTATACCAGGCGAGGTAGCTAACATCTCGCCACCGTGGCGCCCGAGTAAGCATTTGCCGAACATTTACTGTGTCGATTTATCCACGTGAGAATCTTGAGAGGTTTAAAGCCAAAACATCTTAAGACAATGTTTAGGTTTTGTTTGTAATGGTGACAATGATGATATACAACTTTGAACCAGGGTTTAGCTTTTGAGATCCACTCTTATTAAACATTTACAATTAAATGAACAAAAAATATAAATCCACCATGGTTACAAAATGCAATTAAAACGCCTCAGATGTGGAAATGTTACTTTTGATCGTATTTGAAAAACGATGCAATACGTGTATTTTTGAAGATTTGACGGTTGTGACTTCCAACTTGCATGGCGTAACGAGATCCAATGGAAATTATAAATTTAATTCGGATTACCATTTCAAAATGAACACTATACCAGTAGTTTGATGAGTTGTAATCCCACACACAGTGACAAATGAATGCATAGACTAAGTAACCTTTTGGATTCTTAGAGTAGAATGTTTATACCCAAGGCTCAAAAAACAGCACCGTCAATGCCAGTCGTGGTAAAGCACCTACTTTCATTACATTAACATCTCGCAAAATATAACTGGAAATTAAGTGCGAGCTTGACTTCCTATTTATATACCACACATTTCGTTCAAGCACACTTAGCTCATAACATGCGTGTAACTTTGCAAGGTCAAATCACAAAACTGCCAAAATGGAAACAATTACTGAAGCTCCTTTTGTACCGTGTCTTTGGGAGCAACACAAGTGGTGCAATTTAATGTGCCGCCGTGTGAACAAAATAGGTTTCATATTAAACCTCTAACGCAGTAATGCATTGCTTTTTGAAGTGATTTATCACAAAAAATATCGTTCCCAATGTGTTCTATCGTTATATATTCGTGGCAATGGTTGGACATTTTGTGCTGTTCTGTGCTCAAGGCACATACATAGAAGGAATATTCTCGAATATAATTAGATGTTGATATGACATTTAGTTGCATTGGGTAAATAACACTTATATCAAGATGAAAATGCAGCCTTATCATATTTGAAACTATTAATTAACTTTCTTTAAAAAGATGTTCCGAAAACATTCACATGTTGTGGGGCAAAAGTTGAGCTTTGCTTTTCATTTTCACACCATCTGCTTATCAATATCCTTGAGACAATTGCAGGGATGTGAAGTGTTCTCCAATGGATGTTTAGTGTGTCGTTTGCACCTGTTACTAGTTACGAGTGATTACGCACGTATTACGGTAAGTCCAGGGACGATCCAAATAAACGTTTGCAAAGACTTTCACAGACCAAGAAGACAATTTAAATAATAAATTAATGTAAATCAAGGACCACAAAAAGTATGAATTTGGAGCAACCAAAAGGAACTTCATGAATATTAAATAACCCAGGAAATATAACAAAACAATAGTATGGTAGTAATTAGAGATGTGATTTCCGTATCTTTAACACTGTTGGACATTGCATAACGTATCCTCGTGTTATGAAAATGTTCTACATTATAATCTATTCTTTAGAGTTTTCTCCATCATTTAGATAAACGTTTAGGTAACACACCAACAGACACATTTAGAAAAAAACACAATGGTCAGTCTGCTGTGAACTTATTTTATTAATACATTTGCAAAATTGTAAGCAGTAAAATGCACACCTCCATTCAGCAGTGCATTGACAGATATCTGTGCATATATATTGCTTGTGAAAATGTACACGTAAAACATTATTTCAGCAACATTAAACATGTTGTAAAGTGATCATCTGTATTTCTTCATAAAGTGCATACTTGCATAAAAATTGCATTATTAAAAATTAATCACACTTTTTAAAAAGAACAATTACTCAGTAGCATATCAATCAATTGTGATGGTGCATCTTGGTTGTTTTTTTTATCTCTGCAAGTTCAAACCCATGCTGCAACGCCGTGATTTTCTTTGATGAGCCACATACTGTCAATCACCTTGCCACTCTATAAACAAAAACAATAGCGAACAATTAAAAGCCTCTTTGCCATCATCATGGAAAATGTCATTCTAATGGAATCACGTGGCCAGACCGTGCAGCACAGAAGCAAAATGAAAATCATTGCACTGCAATCAATAATATAATTGCCTCTCCACGAGTTATTTAAAAATGCTTCTGATACTATGTGCATCAAGTATCATGTGACTCAAAACATACATATACAGTTGAACTTTTAAATATTACATAATGTCTCAATCATTTAGTGTCACTGCAGAGAATGTAACATAAATAAGCGGATATATTTCCTTCTTCGTGGGACCTCCTTTGCCATTATCAAGGCATAAGAATAGGTTTAACCCTTTCTGGCAATAACACAGGTGTTAAAATGTTAAAACACCAAACTGAAACCCTTTTCAAGGAATCATGTCTGCATCAACCACATACACTTGTGGTGAACATGTAAAAAAAAAAACACCGTGCTCTGATATTATATGATGCATTCTCTTTGAAACGGATTGGTCAACACCAGAGACAGCTTTCTTTTGAGCCTCGTCTCAAACAGTGTCAGACCAGAAGACGCTAAAAAGCGAACACAGCACAAAGACAATGCCACTATCAGAACATTGAGAGCTCGGGGTGAGCAGCTACATCATGGGAACTCCCTTGTCATTATCAAAATATAAGAATACGTTTTTTAGTTTCATGTTCACCGCAAGTATATGTGGTTAATTGCAGACAGGATTACTTGCAAAAGGTTTCAGTTTTGTGTTTTAACATCTTAACACAACTGTGTCATTGCCAGAAAGGGTAAAACTAATTCTTATATAATTCCCTCTCCCCACATGTGTCTCTCTGCATAAGAACGAACTTATGTTTCCACATCCAATTGGCTGCACTGCCTTCTGGGAGTGCATATCTGAACGGGAAGACCTTTTTTCTGAAAATAAGATTTAAAAAACTTTAGATTTGCTTCATGTCGACAGACAAATATGGTAAGAAGGCATTATGGCATCTTATTTATTTTGTCACTGACAATCTCCATAACAATGCTTAGTTATTATTATTATTTCTAATATAGTTTTGACTTAACTCGGATCCATTTCTAACAGAAAGGCCTTTAAACACCGGGCAGTTCACCAGCATTGGTTGTATGTTTTATGTTGAAGTTATTTTGCACCGGACGTAGCCAACTGTGCTAATCGGAGGTGCAGTTTAAGCAAGCCTGGGTGCTGATGAGACATTCAATGCTGAAACTAGTCCAGTTTGTTCGTATTACACCAATGCTGATGAAAAAATGTAAACCATATTTTTCCTTTAATGTTGGAGCTAAATATGGGAGACAGGCATTTTGTCTCCAATTGTTTATTTAAATAATACGATCATTTGGAAATGTGTTAACTGTAGCTGTTAAGCCTTTGTCAATCGACTGCAGGATAAAGGCTTCCAAATACCATGTCGATCATGGAGAGTATTTCACCATACTTTACCACACTGGGAAATGCAGGTTAGTGAGGAGGGGGCCCAATGCTGGTACAGATATTAATCGCAAATGATCTTGGCCATGCATGAGACTCAAATTAAGGTTGGAGAGTTCATAGTACACAGAATTAGAACAATTCCCTCCACCTTGAATTTGTTAGTCATTATACATTCACAAAAAGTGAAATATGCCATGAAGAAGTGCATATTTCATGTCATTTGCCCAGTTATTTGTGAATACATAACATCACCATAGCCTTCTCATGAAAGGTTTGATTAAAGACTGTTCCAATGCATGCAAATGGTCAATAATGTCAGATGGGCAATTTATACATTTCAGCATTTGTTAAAAACACTTTTCGTTATGCAGCACCCTGCACACATTTTGTAAAGGTCAATTATTAGTACTGTTCGTCCGATCTATAATTACAATGTGCAAAACAATCAAAGCTGGCAGATTGCAAAAGATGAACAAAATGTTGTTGCACTGCTTATCGTTTACTTTGACAAAAGCTTTTAGGATAATTACAGTAATTTGAAAAAAAAAACTAATATTGCCCCCTCTTTCAGGCCATGCTTTCACGCTCCAAACTATTAATCTTTTCAACTAAATAATGATTTCTGCTACTGCATTTCATGCTGAACGTGAGATTCCTACCTGGTCATCGGACACCTGCTCCAGGTATACATGGCTGCCATTCTGGATCTTCAAACGTGTGTATCCGTAATCAGAGCTCCTGAAAGCACTCCAGTCTCTAGCATGAGGAACGAACGGATCAACCCTCTCTCTGCATCCCTGTTGAGTGCACACAAATCAACAAGTCAAGGCATCCTTTTACCCGTTTATGGCGATGGTTACAATTAAAGCATCTCGTGGTATAATTACACACTATCCAATTTGTACAGATTTAAATTAATACCAACCCTTTGTTATGTACCCTTGAGAAACATTTTCCCTATCATTTCATCCCATGCTGCTGTTACCAGTACATTGCTGATGATTACAAAAATTAATCTATCCAAACCAGGCGACAGCAATTTGATGTAAAGGATAACAAGTGGTGATGAATGATAAAATCTATACAATGCCTATGGTGCAATTACCTGGAATGCACCCAATCTCATCAGAGTTAGACAGCTAAGCAGGATTTATCCTGGATAGTACAGTCCTTGGATGGGTAACCGCCATGTCAGCGGTGTTGTTATATGATCCTTATGGCAGTACCCCGATGTACCAAGTAATACAAAATGGCTGAGGCAATTAAATATTTATTTCTGGGACACTTTGTTTACAGGGGTGTACTCAACTCCGTGACTGGGTTACCAATCAACCAGAAATCAGTGCTACTCCGCGATGTCGAAACGCAGCGAGGATGATTGCGCTGAAACCCTGAACGTTCGTATGCACCAGAGTGCATCGTGTACAGCTCGTCGAGATGAGTCGATTGCCGCATCGCCGACCATCAACAGACTAAAAATTACTGCATCACAGGCATTATGCGAGAGCCGGGGTACTATGGTACCCCAGGGTACCGCTATAAGGTTCATGTCAGTGAGCTTTTACAATGTGGTGGTAAGCAGATGACAGTGCACCAAAATCCATTGTTGGATTGTACTTCTATTCCCCCACATTTATGCTATTCCCCTTCACTAATCCAAATTTACTCGCCTATTAAAGTGAATGTCAAAATTACCCTCGTGACCTGGATTTATAAAAGCGCTGTAACACCTGCAGGTGCAATAATAAACAATGTAACTCTTTAAAGGCAGTATTCAAAAAAGAGCAAATCGATGAAGAGCTACGTACCGCAGAGCCTGTGATGATATGTACAGGCCCTTTGGGGTTCACATACGGAAAATCTCTGCTGCCGTTGAGAACCTTGGCAAACAATTAAGAAATGTGTAATTAAACATTGGCACATTTTTATTTCCAATTTTGCACTTTGTTAATAATTCCCCCGAGTTGCAAACAGCTCTGTAATCAAATTTTTCAACATACCTTATGCACATTACACGCATTTTTTTTTAAAATAGCAAAGCTTAATTGAAGGGGGCGGGGGGGGGGTCTCCTCTCCAGGACACTGACCATTTGCATAATGACAAAAAAAAACGTCAGTTACAGGGTTCAATGAAGGTGTCCTAATTAAAGTATTTCATTAAACACAGTTGCACTCCAAGGGCTTTCGTGTGCCGGGTTAATAGGCAACTTGAGATGCAATCACTGGATATCACCCACGTTACAATCATCAGGTGAGACAGACCCCATAAGTCTTCACAGGATGGTTTTCACCAGCTGCCTGGTAATGTTACTGTCAATCACGAAAAAGCAGTTTCTGCTCCAAGCTCTCGAAATGTATTAACAAAGTAAAATACATTCCTACATAGCTGTCCTAGTCAATATCAGTCAACAAAGTTTAAGCAGAGCTCTGTGGAATGACAATTTTGGTGAAAATTATATTTATTGTAATATTCAAAGGATTTAGACGTTTACAGTAATAACGTGTGTGGAATTTCACCGCCGGGGGATTGATGCTGGTTTTATATTAGCAATTTAAATAAACTCCAATATAGAAACAAAATAGTTTTTTTCTCTTACCTTGTAGTCATAGATTGGCCACAGCCTCTCGTAAGAATGCTCATGAGCCCAAAACTCAATATCAACACCTTCATTTGCAGACAATATAAGCAACAAGTAAACAGCAGCATTAGTCAACAGCTACCCTTCCAAAACAGACCATCTAGAAATACTCTTTGGTTCTTTCGGTAAAGTCACGTAGGTATAAAATAAAATAAATCACAATACCTACGTGACTTTACCGAAAGAACCAAAGAGTATAGATTCCTGCAGTCACGAAAGCTTCAAATCAACATCTAGAAATATATACCATTTGTGTCTAAAAATTACTCAAACACTGAGGCTGCATCTCCAGCTAAAAAAAAAATCATTAATATAACTATTTGAAATAACATTCATCAGGCAGTGAAATATTAACCAAAGTAACCAAGACATAACTAGCTTTCTTGGGACTCATTTAAAAAAAAATCCAATTATTAATACGCTGCCTATGACCAAATCACCCAGAATGTACTCAATCTTGCCAGATCTCAGAAGCAAAGCAAGATTGAGCATGGATAGTCTCCACGGATGATCATTGCGCACAAGCAGGTTGACATTGGGCTGCAGGGTTGCGTGGTGAGCAGCAGAGGGCAGTGCAGCATAACGAATTGTACTGTACAGGAATACCTCTTATAGCGCTGCCTCTTGTAACGCCGTTTCCTTATAACGCTCTTTGTCCTGGAGGAAAATTCCTGTCTGGATTAGCCCTTATATGAAAGAAAGCAGACATGGCATTGCCCGTAAGGGCGTGCCTTTGCCCATATATGGTCTTGTGGAACCTGAATCGAGATGTCTATTTTATCGATTCTGCTCAAAATCGAACCAACAACGATGTTAGAGTATCGATTCGTCGAGGGTTAATCACTGCATCGATTCAATGGCAAGCGATCCATGGATCGAGTAATCTCATTGGTTAGTATCGCTTCCCGTGGAACGTGTTTACGGCAGACGATAATTAATCTTACGGCAAGCCCTGACCAAATGCCCTGTGGTGAGTGCGAAACTTTGTATTTTTTGTCATCATTAATAGTAATGTTATTTATAAATGCTTTAATACATTTAGAATGTGTACAGTATCATTATTAAGGCTATTACCGATAGTCCAATCAAGCCCTCACATATCAATCATAGGTAAAAACATTACGCTGTCAGTAATGCTTCTCCATTGGAATGTTATGACTTCCTATAGCGCTGTTTCGTAGAGTGCTCCGATTATCAAGAACGCATCCTGAGCGCTATAAGAGGTATGCCTGTATTTAAAACATGCACATTTATGCTCCCCACCATCACCACCCCACACTGAACCACGTGGTGAAATAGGGTCCTACATTGCCCATGGTGTTGGGGAGGCCCTCATACAACAGTGGATGGAAACAAGGGCTGTACCATGTATCATAATGAGTTACAAATTGTATTTCAAAGTTACATCCCTAAATGAAACAAACACTTATAGCGCAAGTCAGTCATTCATTACGTTTTTTTGTCTTACCATATATGAAGAAAAGTTTCTCCAAGCCAGGCATCACTCCCAAGCTCGAGTTGAATCCCGTTCGGACCTATGAATTTAATACCAGACGATATGATTGTGTTTTATTGATGTCTGTCTTTAAACAAGAAAAAATATGAATATTTCACACGAAAGTTGGATATTATTTTTAAAAAATTTTTTACGACAACAGACTTTTCAAAATATTCTATTCAATTCTCACCCGGCTGTTGAATGTCTTGCAGTCATCGGTATCATTGTTGGAGCAGTACATGGGCCGATGTCCAATTGTGATGATCCAAGGAGTCTGTTTTTTGTTCTCTGGCAAGCTGGCCTCCTGGTTATCAAAACACATTGAAGATTATTCAAGACACATGTGTGTATAATTGCTACATTTCTATCTGGTGGGAGATTCACTGAAATATACAACCTATGCATCAATAAACTTTTGTTTTAATCAGAAGACTGTTACAGAGTGGCCGGAGGCCTCCCCATGGCAATGTCATTTAATTTATATTTTATTTTTTTATTGGGTGCAATTGTGAACAACAGACATAGCAAACATTAGTTCATCTAATCGGTATGATAATTGGTTCACTGCAGCTCAAAGTCTCAGTCCTACAAGGCATGTGATGAAGTTAGGAGATGTCCATGTGCTCAGCATTTGAAGGCCCCAAGACCAAAATTGTTGAATTCGCCGACAATGTGTTCAGCGTGGCAGTTCCTTATCTGGACAGCAGTGAAGGAAGCTTCTGTCCAGGGAGCATGTTCTGGCAACTGGGGGGGTAAAGGTGTGGCTTGGATCTGACTGTGTACATAGAAAACATTTCCTACATCCACCTTACTCACATGGTTGGTTGGACTCTAAAATGCCAATTTTTGTTCCCTATGATCAGTTACAAATAAATGCGAGTGTAATGGTAGGCGAATGGCTCTGTAATTCTTCGTATCAGTATTAAATCCATTTTAGAAAGCACGATTGACGCATCATTCCATTTAATTTGTGAAAACATTGAGTACACAGGTTCCATCATTTTGCTTCGTTGCTGGTCCTGATTCTTTAATGACTATATAATTGTTTTAATCACATACCACAGGAGAAAAACCACTTCCCACGTGAAGATGATGATAATGTTCTAGATATCACACCTGCAAAAAGAACCATGGCTCTACACAGTATGAAAATAGGGGAAAGCTCCCAGGTTATATGGAATAAGCCACTCTTTTTATTTAGTTCTATAAAATGTGCACAATGTCTCCATAACCTATATCGTTTTTTTTCCCAACAACCTATGGTTTTCTGTCACAAATCAACACAGCTTGGAATCAAGAGATAAACAGGAAAAGAGCAGCTAGTTCCAGGTTTTTTGTTTGAAATGTGAAGCGTTAACCAAAGAAATGCGGATAAAAGAGCAGGTTTTCATCAATGCAATTAACATTGAGCATTTTGGCCACAGCAGGCAAGTGAACCATGGAAACCACTTGCTGAGGCACTCAACAATGCGGAATATTAAAGGTCATTGAATAAATGGTACTTTAATTTAATTACTGCTCTCTCGTTCATCGATCAGAGCAAGATATTGATTTAAAAGGAACGTGGCACAGTCAAAACATAAAACTACAATTGCATAATTGAACCTTTGATCCCTCAGTTAATATCCCACATCCTAACAAAACAATTTTGCAATGCTAAAATGTAATAGGGAGTGTTAACTGGTGCGTATCTTCGACATTATCACAACCAATTACATTAGCCTAATTAACATCACCGTAATGCAAGCTTCCCCTGAGTCACATCAACAAATCCAATCAATTCTATGACTGCGTAAAAAAATGCCACCGAATATGCATGGCAAAAACCAAGTCAAGGTGATCCTATTATGTCAAAAATGAAGCGATAATAAGGCATAATCAAGTTAAAAGCTATGCAATTACCTCTAGATCCTTCTTGAGCCACTCGTATTGCTTAAGCAGAAGGTCCAGGCCATAGTCTGTATAATAATACACCTCTGTGCTGATGGAAATGATGTGTGCAGGACCAATGTTCCAGCTGTCCAAAAGAATGGAGTAATACATTATTGCTGGTTTAAGACATGGCTGAATACGTATTGCTCAAAGTGTAAAATGCTTTTTCACAACATTGTTAAAACATAAATGTGTTATTGAATCATGTTGTCAACACCTTACTCGAAATTATACGTTACGGTAACTATGTTTTCAAGATAAAACCCTGATGAAATGTATGAAAGAAGTGGTAGTGAACACGGCACAATTGTAGTGACAAAGTCATTAGTAATATAAGATGGTGAATTCTTTCATCATGTATCTTCTCATGCGCATTTGAAAACCATTGTAGTTCATCACCAATGTGATTTCATGAACTATAGAAAATCAAGGAAATGATTGAACTTAACAAAGATGAGAGAAGGGTTAAAGTTACATGTTATGTAAAAGTCACTGAACAAAAAGAAAAGTGCTGGAGGGCTTTAACAGAAAATACAGGGTATGTATATCTGGGTAACTACCAAAGGTGGAATTGGTTCAGAATGATGACATGAAGAGGTGAGCAATAAAGAGGATTGAGTGCTTAAAAAAAAACATTGATCATAAAAAGCAATATTGAAATGTACCCAAAGAAGATATCTTTAAATAAGTGAACGTGACTTTCTGTGAAATACGCATCAGAAACCCATAATTGCTGTGTTTATCATTCCGTACGCCGATTGCTGTGGCAATGCACCTCACCACCCTCTCGCCATTCAATTACAAGTGGTATCTACATTATTTTCATTTATGTGGCTGAAACTTGCAGAATTGCTTTCACAATTTTACAGAATTGCTCTTTTATTTTCAACTGTTTTATTTTTATACGAACAATTGTTGCCTATTACTTAAATGGTACAAAAAAAATTACAAAAACCATTCAAATATATTTTACGTAAATAGAACGTAGACGAATTAGTGTCTGGGCTTACTGTTTGGGAGCAAATGGGAGGGGGATTGTTTGTATCTAGACTAAGGTCGAATTAATATTATGGAAAAGTCAACCTTTGTTAACTGCAATCAATCTCAAGTCACTGAAATAGGTGTCCTGTCCAACAAAGCATATACCCTTGTGATGACTAGCACTTTCAGATTATTTTGCGACAGAGGGAAATGTCCATGACTGCAATTTCTCACCTGTACCAGAGGCCTTCTGTGTTTCCAGGCATAGAAAACCGATTTCTGTAATTTGAAAAATTGCTGTAAGGCAATAGGAAACAGTTTAAAAGTCAGAAATGTAATTACAACAAAAAAGTTGTTAACAATACAGGATCTTTAACATGAAAACACAGCCAAGTCTCCAGGTAAAATAATTACAAATGTATGATGTGATACATATGTATTATACAAATGTACCATGGTTATAAACATTGTTCACAGTTCTAACAATGACTTGAGTATGCCTAGTCATGTGAGGACATAATAAACTATTGGATTTAGATGTGATAGTAACATCCCATAAAACGCATTACACTATGGATTGTTTTATACGAACATGTGAATTAAAAAATAGCACTAAATTCAAGCATTATTTAAGTCTGAACGGATCAAAACGGCAAGCTGCTGGTGTGAATGCTTTTCCGCAAGGTAAAATAAGTTCTTGAATTTTCAAGCATGAATTTAAAGCAGTCTACCATACAACCTTGCTATCAAGTTCCCGTTTCTCAGTTATATCTGCACTTATCAATTCATGTAGGTCTCACATCCACATTGATATAATGTAACATTTTCCTGCAACAATCATCCCCATGTTTTTCACAAGTATTGTTAAGAATTCTGTAGTCAAACCATTTTTAATACTTTTCTACCTTTTTCTTATGTTGCGGAGTTTCAAAAACCATGATGCATGCTCTTCTGTGGATGTGCTCCGCATTAGTTAAGGTAATTTTGACACATTGCTGCTCACAATGTATCTCTGTGCAGTGTACCCACTGATCTTTGGCCAATACTCCATTTATCTCCATGCTGTGTCCCTGCTTCTCTCAATCAAAACATCTACAGTGTGAAGTCCCCACTTCTCTCGTTTCACACATCCCCACACTCCGCATGGCTTCACTTCTGTCTATATGGCCCAGCATTAAATAATGTGGCTGCTACGACGTGCTCGTTATAATGCATCATTAGTGACCATCGAGGCCAGTGGAGTGGGAGATGTGTGGAGAGCCATCATAGGCGCGGAGTTATTGAAGCAGAGACAGAGATTTATGGAGAAAACCAGAGAGAGAAAGTATAGAGCTGGATGGATGGAGCATTGAGAGACAATACACATAAATGTATGGAGTGACAGAAGCTGAAAGTGCATGGCAGAGGTATGGACTAAGAACGAATCTTGAGAGAGAGTTATACAGCATTAGAAAGGTAGTGGAAGCAAGAAAGGGAAGCAGATTAAGAAGACAGCATAAAATATGCACTTTTTATGGAAGAAACTAGCAGTCCACAATTAAATGTTTTTTTCTGGCTCCCTGGAAATTAAGTGATGTTTCACTGTCGTGCTATGAGATTTAATTACAGGATTAGAGGCGTGGCATCAGAACCCGGACACCTAGGTGAGAACCTAGTTCACCGACCACAATGCAATTAATCATTTTGTCTGCATCACAACAATACTCAGGGCTCCGTGAGGAACATTGTGCATTAATAATGTTACATGCTGCAAAAGACCAGATTGGTTGACCTTACTATGCATTCTCGTGATTTCCAGGACATGTCATGTAGGGTACATAGGCCGCGATGGATTCAATCTGTCTCATGAATTCATCTCCAATCCTGGCATTGTCCTGAAATAAGATAAAAATGAATCCAGTCAACAGGACAATTATAGCTGTGGATGTTGAGATTTCCAAGACAAATAGACAAATACATGGGCAAAAAAGAAAGTTAATGCATGGTCAATCATACATATCTCCCTACCTCATCCATATCGTAAGCAAAATCACCTAAAAAGTACAAAGAAAAAACAAAAAATAACAATTACATGTTTATAATAAAAAAAATACTTTCATAAAACAGGCAAAATAAAGAACACCAATGTCGCAGTGTCTTGTAATTTGCACTACAGGTATCCCTTAGAAACGTTCGTTTTTATTAAATTTTGCATTTCAGCACTTGACAAATTAAGGACACTTTTCTGTTAACGAAATCGAATTTCAGCGTGAACGAAATTTCACATGGCACCCCCAGCCATGAGCTCAAACATTAAGGACCTGGGAGGCTTCGTCATCCATCCGCGACAGCATCACGGCATTCCTACAGTGCAACAATAATGGCTCCACATAACCTTTCCAATCATTCCAAAATGCAGATTTTTTTGGTGAGTGCCCTGAAAAGGTTAATAATTTTAGTTTTAAATGTATTATTCAATAAATGTCATATTTGTTTTAATTATTAGTAGTTTTGCATTGTGAAAACTGACAGAGTTAGCGTGACTTTCTGAAACACGTCCCTCATTTATAGTACTAAATTAGTGGAAAATACCATTCCGTTTTACATTTAGTTTTACTCATCTTTTTTGGAGAATGCAATAATATGGACCTCTCTTCAGTATATGAATACAATACAGCAACATAAATTGTCACCTAACTTTATCATATATTTAGAAAGGTAACCAACATTACATTCAGATAAGCATTTTCCAGAATATACTGTGATTTGTTGAAGATTTTAGTATTTGAAAAGTATTATATTTATGCACATTTTTATTGACAAAACATACTTTGTGTCTTACAGCAGAATATTCCAATTTAATTTGGATAAACTACAAGGATGACAATGTAAAGATATTCCACGTTGAAAATATTTTGTTTACACAGAAATTATAGTACTATATTTAACTATTGTTAAGTAAGACAAAATGTTACAAAGACCATACATTGACTTCCCCCTTTATTTAAGCTGCCAATTTGAGCCCCAAAAAACCCATGCATATTAAAGTGCAAATAATTGAATAAGACAGGTGAATAAATGAGTGGCTGCATGCATTAACAAAAATCATAACAAAGTAAATAAATAATTATCCACTATTTTTTTTTTACATTCACAACTCAGTAACTCCTTACCGACGTGCAGTATGGCGTCATACATGCCCATCTGAGTCTCCTTCTGCAGGCGAGCTAGAGATTGTGGGTTCTCGTTACCCATGTCTCCAAAGACGGCAAGTTGGGGACTCCAGTCAGACCCCTCCCGCATGGCCGAAAAAAAGAACATATCACTCCAGCCATCTGTGCTCCCAGAGTGGTAGACTGTCACACACAAAACACAAACCATTGCTATCAGTCGGTATGTATGTTGAACTTCTTTCGCACCGTACGTAGCCAACCGTGTTAATCGGAGGTGTGGGTGAAGGTAGATGCTGAGCAAAGGAATTCATATTGATCCATGAGTCATACAGCATTAGAAAGGTAGGGGAAATGTACATTTTGAATATTTAACATGTTGGGTTCTGTGGTGAACAAACCATATTGTGCTCCAGGATCCAGCTCTTTGACGAGGACCCGGTGGATGTACATGAAACGCTTCTCAACTCCCCCATCTGTAAAGATAGTGCTGCTTCCAATGGCCTTCAGCCCAAAGAGCTTGGATCCAAAGCGCGAATACTCAACGATCGAGTCCGTTTTATTGGTCGTCACCCATGTCACCATGATGGAGCGTGGGTTCCCTGTGAAGAAAATAACAGCCTTATTTTTTATACATATTAAGATGTGTAATATCATTTGACCTTAAATCGTGGCACGTGAAATATAAAATTAAATATTATTTACAACTATATGTAATATAAGACGTTATTTTACTCATTGTGTATATTCACTATGGTTTCATAATGGTGTTACATATAATTGTTGGCTACGTACGGTGCTAAAGAAGTTCAACATACATATTGTACTGTACTTATATTTGTGTTGCAAACTGACACTTGTAAATAATCTGGCCTTAAAAACCGTGTGACAATTGTGTCTGCTTTACCTCCAAGTGGTTCTATGGCTTGCAAGAACATTAACGGAGCCGTGTTTTCTGTCACGTACCGGTAGAAGACAAGTGCATTTGTTCTGGCTGGAATCCGATTGGATGGTCCCCTTTGCTGGTCACAGCCAGCATCATCAGCAGCGCACCGCACGTCCACATTGTTCCAGCCATTTTCTTTCTCTCACCAGTTCCTCGTTGTTCCAGAAAGCGTCTTTAAATGTGGTAGATCTTAAGGAGGGATTGACATTTGGATAAAAACGAGGGGCACGTTAAGATGTAATAAACGTTAGTGTTAAGAGTGGCTTATACAAAAGGATGACTGATGAAATGCAGGGACTTCAATTGTTTAACAGCATCATGTTTTCAACTGGTATAACTATCCAAACATGTGACTTAACACTTGCATACAATGCATATTAACTCAACAATTCACCTCATCATGTGACGTGCCTCTCCACTGGCAATATCATATTTTACTTTCCCTTCTCAATTGTAAAGGGTAAATGATATCCTAAAATTATATATCAGATAAATTCCACTGTATAACCTAGATGGCAGGAAAGTGAGTTAAATAATTAGTCGGGAGGTAAAATCCTGATCAGGGTTATATGATCATCAAAATTCCCACTTTTTATTTGATAAAATGATTTATCACTTTGACAGGTCAAATAGTTGGTGTGTTAACGGTACAAAGGGTCCTTCATTAAAACAAAACATTGTCTTTCCATTGGAAATATCAAAATAAGATGTTCCTATCCAATTGTAAGAGGTCAATTATTTCTTCACAATTAAATGTCCTATTCTGTAATATAATTATAATGCACTAGCATTACAAGGTCGGTATAACCTAAATGTCGGGAACGTGAGTAAATGATTGCAAAGTCGAGATGTGAAATGCCGGTAAGGGTTAAGTGATCAACGAAAATGACAACAGCACCACTTGACAGGTCGCATGGCTGGTGCAGTAAAGATACACGGTGTCCTATCATGAAAACATTGGACGTCTCGTGATCCTGTAGTAATCATCTCCGTCACATCACCGGGGTGGAGGGAATTGCAAACAGCGTCACTTGGTGCAGTCACAGCTGTTGGCCCATCGCCACAGGAACGTGAAATGGTTCCGGAGAAATAAAAAGATTAGTAACAGAGATTGTTGTGTGCTCCGACTCAGAATGTGAAATATAACGTCACTCTAACAGCACAGAAAATCGGCATTTTGTGTGTATGAACGATTGGTTTCGAGCCATAGAAACGTGGAACTTCAATCAGGTGCTCTGGAAAGAAAAATAAGATTTTCTTGATACTGGTTTCTTCATTAACTTTTCACCTTACACCACTTGCTGTGTTTAAGAACACGACTGACTGACTCATCGTAATACAATAATGTGGTTATCTCTCCCGTCATATTCTGGACAAAATATATATAACACCATCCAGCTCGACAGACACACACTGGCAACTTACTACATACGTTAGAATTACAGATACTATAATTCGATACATTCAAGACAGAAGCAACCTTATAAAATATAGTAGATACGATCTTATACCGTGCCACTCGAGCTATCAGACGCGGGTCGGAAGGTTAATTAGGGGAAGAAAACTGGTAGGTCAAGACCAAGGGCCCTGCCACAACGCTCTTGTGATGATGCCGGTGCAACAATGCTTTGGACGTCAACTCGCCACGTCTATTTTCCCTCCCCAATGAACCAAGTTTCAAAACTAGGGTGTCGGAAAAAGCCCGATACACACAATCTACACACGCAACTATAACGGGCTTGTGTGAGCTAAAGTCTAGCGGCTTTAAGATCAACAAAACTCAAATGTTTTCGAGTTGCCCTCCAACACACCGGTGTGCTGTTGTACTAGTATTGAATTGGCATGTGATGTGTACGTGACAAACCTTACTAATTGGCTGTGCCGGGTGGTGGTGGGTTTAACGACACATTGTATATTTACGAGATCTAACCCCAAAAACCTCTATAGATGAAAAATACAAGCGAACAAAGAGAACAGATCATTAGACCTCCTTTGCCAATATAATGGGTTTTTTTCCCCTTTTCATGTCTGCATTAACACATTTATGCAAAACATGAATCCTTATTAAAGATAACAGAAACAACAAGGCCGAGAGCCACCGAGCGGCGACAAGACATCGCTTCACTTTTCAAGGGAGCGCATATCTGTCAACCCCGTATCAGTGCCTAGCTTATTACAGACCAAGTGAGACCTTATTGATCACCCCGTTACCTTATACATCGCAACGTTCAACTTTCAAAGTCCCATCACAAGGGAGAAACACACACAAATAAGACAATCACCACTACTGCACTCACCGCTACACTCCTGTCAACCCCTTATTAGTGCCTACCTTATTACAGACCAATTCAGACCTTATTGATCACCCCGTGCCCTTATACATCTCAACGTTCAACCTACAAATTCCATCACAAGAGAGAAACACAAACAAATACGACCGTGCGCCGTGTGGACTTCAAAAAACCCAACTTCCCCGTACAAGAATGCGGAGTAAACCGCATGAGTTAACAGGTATGAGAGCGAGTGAGAACTCTTGTTTTAGTTTCGTTACAAAGTCCACTTCGTTACGCTTTAAGCGGCTAAATCCGTGTGGGTCCGAGCCGCGACGTTGCCGGGACGTTACCGCGGTGCCGACGAGGATGGAGCGACAACTCCCAACGCGGGAAGGCCACCGATCAGGAAGTCACGTGGACGTTTGTTTACGTACGGCAGCCCGTGCTGCCAAGACTGAACGCGTTTGTAAAATGCCGAGCACGGCAGCATTGGTATATTGACACACAAATAAGTAATATTTAAAAAATGCTTTTTTTAAAACACGCTTTGATTAAATGTACCGTTACGAGTAATGGCAGAACTCCACGACTCCAGGAGGTGGCCCCGAAGCTTGCTATAACGTAAGGGACTGTGCTGATTTACAGCCAACGTGAGTTGAGTGTGGACAATTAGACCCAAGCCAAAACATAATATGTAAAAAAAGATTGATTAAAAAGATATTTATTTTATTTTTAATGATAGAATATGGTATTGTCATCAGTATGACATACGTATACCAAGTTTGCAGTCGACACGCCATTGGAAAGTGGGTTAAAATTTAGTTACAAGATTTGAGGATAGACAACAGAGTTGAGGATACAACAGTTAAATAAAAGCGTGTAATAATACAAATAATGTGCGTCGTCTGCGTTCTGGTGACACAATTGAGGTTGCTACATTTTAGTGATACAATTAGTAGTTTTTTTGTTATTTTCTTTGAACCTATCTCCATGACTTTACAGAAAGACCCAAAGAATAAAAACACAATTATAATTTTATCTGCCATAAAAAAATTTCACCCGATATTTACTGCAGGGAATGTGAAATATTATAGCCAATTACATACGTTTATTATTAAGCAAATACATATCAATGCACTTATCGTCCTTTAAGTTCAAATGGGCTCATATCTGGTTATTAACTAAATGCATTTCTATTTGATGAAAAGTCGGGTATTGAATATTTAGAATACTGTACCTATAAAACGTGTTTTAAAAACACATACATGTGAAGCATGCAATGAAAGTATATAATAAACACACAAAGCATCACATTATGGCTGAAATGTCTTTATTGCCTCAATTTCCAATAATCGAATATAACAATATATTCATTAGGCATTTTTAAAAGCTCATAGTAACCTTAATACCAAGTCACAGTGGTGTTTTCAACACAACGAAAACAATATATGTTCATAAGTGGCTACTACTGGTGCAAGAGGCACAGAGCGGTGACTGAGGTGCACATCTGTTGTCTGTGTGAGCAGTTGCAGAGTTGTCTGCAATTCACGCTGACACCTTCACTTGTTGTGAGGAAAGGCAATCCATACGAGGCTTCCGACAACCCCCATTGAACCTGAAAACACACGGGCATCAGAATGTACACAAATTTATCAATAGCTATGTTGGTCAGCACTGAACCGTGGTAATCAGACATTAAGTAGAGTGTATTCTTTGGGTCTTTCGGTAAAGTCACGTGGATAGGTACAAATGAATACAAATAATAAACAACAAATATATAAAATAAACATTGCTTGTGTTGTGATCAAAAGTCGTAGTTTATTTATTTATTTAATATTCATTATTTTTATTTGTACCTATCTACGTAACTTTACCGAAAGACCCAAAGAATATGAATCCCTGCAGTCACGAAAGCTTTAAGTCAAGATATTAAGTAGAGTGGGTAAAACAATGTTCACTTCTTAGCAGCAGAGTGGAAGTCCCCTTATTTCAGGGACGGATGTGGCTATGGGGCCGATCCTATTATGCATGTTTTTTTTTGCGAATTCTACTCTGATTTGTGAGAAGACATGCGGTTATAAAAGCAGATACAAACAAATATAACCAATTTCAGGTTATTCCTGTTATCAGCACTCGAGTGTGGACAACAGGATGAATAACGTAATTCTAAAATGATGCCTCCAGGTCAATTCCGGTCTGGCATGGGTAAAAGGACGATTGTGCCACAACTTATGGTTGCTTTTCCTATCTGTGCAAAACCATGGAAAATACAAAAAACAATTCAGATAACAATGTCTGCTGTCTGATTCAAGGACACCAGATAAGAGTGGGTTTTCACCGTTATACATTGGATGATGCAATTTGGTAAAATTTTGTCTCATATGACTAAAATTTATGAGAAGTGAATATACATCGTTTTAGGTGCTACATTGCAACATATTGATGGTGACTGATTATAACTCCAGTATTAGCAAATGATTTTCTTACCAAAGACGGTTATGCCCATGGTCAACATGTACAGCAGACGGTCTCCACTTCCTCCCTTCAGGTGCACTGGGTGGTCATTCGCCTGTTGCAAATTCCAAGCACACAACCTCAAATACACAATGGAATATTTACAGGCCTAAACAAAAAGAACGGTTGTGCATGAAGATAATGGCATGCCCAGATTACCATTTCATTGGGGGAAACTACAGCACAAGTCTTAATTTTAATGGTGCGTTACTTGCAATTGATCCTAATGTGTTAAGCTGCTTCAAGAATAGTTGGTGGGTGGCGAGGAGAATTGAACATGTCATTGAATGCAGTTGTATCACACATTGCACTGTTCATATTTCAGTGTATATGGACCTGATATAACTTTTGCTTCTCAAGAACTCGGTTGACGTTGCTTCGAGTACTGGTGGAAAACACTCGTCTTCCACACTGCTTTAGTATCTGCAAAGAGAGTGAGCAAGTACACACGTATCATACCAATCTGTTAATCATCTAAATTCTAAATCATCAGCTGCAGCAGCCAATCTGCTGCTGGATGACCACCTTACCAAGCGGGTTTAGGTCACAAAGCAAGGGGCGTTGAGGTCACGAACCGTCAGATTATTTTAAACGAGCGAATACAGCTGAACACCTACCACTGGATAAACATGACTGTGGTGGCAGGACAATATGAAGAAGAAGATGATGGTCCTGAGATGAATCCACACTTGCACATAAAGCTCATTTCGTCACTCCATCTCAGCAGTGGATAATCCACCCGGACCGCTGACTGCGAATATATTTAATTGAAAACAGCCTCACAACATTGTGGCCATAGTGGTTCAGCGTGAATTGTTTTGGGATTCAACTTTAACACGGGTTGTCCCAGAACATACGTGGGTTAGATTGTGGTTGAAATCCATGTACTGTACCCCTAACCCTCTTGGAAGGTTGCAAGTACTGACCAAGAATGTTTTTGGCCACGTGCTAATGTTCTAAAATTGGCCTCCGACATTCAAACAAGGTCGGCAAGGGCCACTAACACAAACGAAGCGACATATATTCATGGTTGAAAGTTTAAAGTATTGTTACAACATTTGTATTATGTCGTGTGCGGAGTCAATCCACTGCTGGATGAGTTCCCCGAGCCACACACCCCACCGAATATCTGACCATACTTCACCACGCTGGTAATCATTGGATGACTCTTATCTGGAACATCACCCTTAACGTGTATCACTGCGTAAATACAAAAGCCGTGGCCGTTAGTATGCGACACCAACATATTGTCCTGGTCGAGATCATGTAGTTGTTTCGTGTGCTAATAATACACTGCAATCTTTACGAAAGTTAAAACCTAACGGGAAACGATGCGAAACCACGCAATCATTACCGCCAGCAATGCGCATTGCGTGCAACACAACGAATGACTTCGTACCAACAAAGATTTCGTGTACGACTACAAAACCACACCACCCAAAACTAGAACAACATTAACTACAACAATTTCACCCTAAGCCCGTCATAAAACATCTTGCGGTCAAACTTTTGTAAATCTGTGCCGAAGTGAATTTCCGAATCACAAGCAAACATACATACCACGGCACCCAACATGTTCCCAGGTGCTCCCGAAGCCACCAAACAAGTACAACCAATCTGTTTCAGCCGCTGGTATATTTTCTTTCACTTGGTCTCGCACAAGGTCAAGCAAATGCGCAACGTCGGGTGTAAGTGGGTGGAGCACGCATGGCCAATCACCAAAGTTGTCCTCCACGTGAACATTAAGTTAGGTCACCACACGGGGGCATCAGTTGTTCACCTCCGATGTTTGCCAGTGGTGAGAATTCGTGTTCACAGATTTCAAAAGCACACCGGCCACGCTGAGCTTGAGTTGATTTTGATTTGTTATGCGACGGATGGTCCCGTTCGGTCAGTCGCCCGGTTGTTTTTCAAGGGAGGAGGGCACAGCAAGAGCTCAAACTAAAGACGAAAAGTATCCACATCACTGGGACCTAAAGGAATATATATTACACAATAAACGAATACATTGCACTGGAACCCTTATGTCAATCACCACCCTTATAAAAACTGCATAATATGCACATGTGCAGCCCTTTGTCAATTCAATGCTGGATGATGATAGATACAGATATTTTTAAAATGTGGAGTAAAAGGGTAGAGTTGTGTTTATGTTTGTATTTGTACTGCTCCACAACAACGCACGAGTTTGTATCAAATATTACTTTTTTGCATTGAGTAGAGTGGCATCGTTGAGATGGACTAATCTTGCCAAGAACATTTGGTAACCTAGAAAAATTGTTTAACATGACGTTGCTCTGCTTTATCAAACACTGGTGGACAATACTAGTTTGGAAAACCAAGAGGCAGATGGACTAAAACACATTTGCATTTATATGTGGAGACATCAAATTAAGGTCTGCTTATTATATGCTATGAATAAAGTATTGACTAGGCAGGGAGAGGTGAAGCTTTTTTTGAAAATGTCTAGCATTTTTGGTTCGGTGCCAATGGGGGAATTGGTATATTGAATTGTGTTTTTCCTAACTATATTCCAATTTGGCTCGTGACATCATGGACATTGTACTGTCGTATCCTAGCATGATAATAAACTCTTGCAGTTAGCAGAAGATGTTACAGAACTACTTCGAAAGTCTTTATCCTCACTTGGGGTACAGATCTTATATGCCCTGGCCATCAACGTGTCACGCTGGAGAACATGATTTAATCATGGAATCTCGTGGTCTGACATCTGAGCCACCTGGCAATCTCATGAAAATAAAAATCAACTACGGTACGTATTTGTATTAGTGTAATTCCTGGTGCGCCGAATGGGACCTTCAACTCGCTACACTCGAGAATCCGGTTTAATCACTCGTGGCTGGCTGGATTCAATCCTTTAATTGCAGGCTCAGTGGTCTTACATGGCATGGTAATAACCACTGTGCCACCTCGCCACCTTGGTTATTGCTATGTTATCTACTTAAACAAGTACTGATTGGCACACGCAACAAATGCCCCAGGGGCTGCACATGATCATCCCTGCACCGCTAAATCAGTCGCGGACATGTCATTAGTTATTTAATCTACGCAGAGCCCAAATTGGTGTTTAGATAGTTATAGTAATCCCCCCACCCTCACTTCCTTGCCAGCCTCGCTAAATTTGTTTTATTCTGATGCCTCTCAGAGCAACTCATCATAAAGTTATGGGAAAGCCTCAGGAGTGGATGGAGATTGGCGAATTTTATGTGGTCAGACCAATGCCCAACTTCAGTACAATTAGAAGTAAACAACTGATTTGATTTTATTCAAGTGTTTTTCCTAATTAACTACCCAAAAAATATATATTCATACCCAGTTTACATTTCCCAAAAAAGACAAGCAATGTCTTCATATATATGTATCTCTTCATGTGAAAAAAATATTTTTTAACAACCCATCAGCTGAATTGATTTAGTAAACAGATACTGAGACCAAGCATCTGCTTTTCCATTGCTATTTATATTCACCACAATGGTGCTAATCATGGTTATTTTGTGCTATGTACCTTTTACATTGAAGTCACCGAAGCAGCCAGTTACACATTTATATGATTGGTCACCCACTCTCTCTGTTGCCACACCAGACTCTGCTCGCTCAGCTTGGAGATTGGGCAGGACAAGTGTTATTATTAGATAGGTTTCAAATGTAAGTATTACAGTAGTCAAATAATGGTGTTTTCGGTTAGGTAGATAACTAAACAAAAATTTAAGCACTGTATCCCTTTAATTATAACAATGCTGGGCAATGCTTCTATTTCTGTTTCTCAGCCATGGTGGAAATTCCATATTCCTAGGGCGGGCGCCAGTACATCCATAGCAATGTATTGTATTAAGCCAAGGGAGGGCACAAGCTCGAGGTTACGCACACTGTGGTGATGGAGCGATAAAATATCCATAATAGAGTTTTTTTTTGGGTTAGATCGCGTAAATATATCAATGTGTCGTTAACACCCACCACCACCCGACAAAGCCAACTAGTAAGGGTTGTCATGAAAATAGAACATGTCAATTCGTCATTAGTACAGGACTAGTGTGTAGTGTATAGTGTAGTATACTAGTACAGCACACCAGTGTGTTGGAGAGCCAAGTCACAACATTTACAATCTGAGTGCGACGTTTCGCCAGTAATTACAACCAGCTTCATCAGGCGACAGCCAGATTTGTGATGAGTGACGAATTGGTACGTTCTGTTTTCGTGACAACCCTTACTAGTTGGCTGTGTCAGGTGGTGGCGGGTTTAATGACACATTTATATATTTACGCGATCTAACCCAAAACACCTCTATTATGGATATTTGTCGCGAAAGCCTACGTGTTAAGCGATTACATATGTTCATATGCAAATTGTTAGTTGCATCGATAGACCATGCGAGATGGCAACGCCATTTGGAAGCAATCATTCAGCATGGCTGTCCATGTTTTCAAATATCCACTTACAAGTTTCAGGATTTAATGGGCAATCATGTTCAAGAAAAAAATATAAAAAGTAACTAATCATCATTAGCACTGCTTTATAAATACAGAAGTCCAAAAATATCCTCCAATATTCTTATCCTAAAATGTGTGGATTATTGGAGTCATGTGGCTAAAACTCCTAAAATCTGCATTTTTTTCACACAACCTCCCCCATCACCACATGTGTTTTACGTTCGACTTGGAAACGTATGGAGTGACCGAGCATTAAAAGAGTAGGCCAATGACCTCTACACTCTTATAGAGGATCTCCTCTCGTACCTAGATAGGTTCTAGAGAGCTTCAGATAAACATAAGCAAGCAATTTCAGGGCTGCACCTTCGTATGTTACACAATACACAGTCATAGGCTGATGTTTTAAGCAGTGGCCCTTATTCAGTACACCACTGTACTATAATCACAAGGGGCCGTCCATAAATGACGTCACGCACCTGGGGGGGGGGTCAGACACATTTGTGACGATGTGTGACGAGGGGGGGGGTGAGAAATGTGACGTCACATCAAAATGCGCAACTTTAAATAAATATAGACAACACATTCTACTTAATTAAATAGACTTTTTAATAAATGTTTTCTCCTACAACATCAGAGTGCAGCGCCACATTAAATACGCACTACAATGACAATAGTTGAAAGCGATTTGAAGCATGTTTTTTTTTTTTGGGGGGGGGGGGGCAGAGCTTTGTGACGTCATAGTTGAGGGGGGGGGCTGACTTTTGTGACGCCATGTGACGAGGGGGGGGGGCTCAAAAATCGTCCAAAATCGCGTGACGTCATTTATGGACGGACAGCAAGTACCATTTGCGGCATCTCCAATCAGCAGTGGATAGATCATGGGCTGGTAATCATCAGACGTTCATTTCCCACGGAATATTTCCTGGGGCTTCCCTGCAAGGGGGGCTGTGGCACATTTTTCCGAGCTGAGCCTCGGGAAAGGCCGGGTTGCAAGTGACCAAATTAGATGCGCAGCTCCACAACGCGTCGAAGTTTTGAATTTCGTGGCTTTTCCCGAGTTTAGACACTGAAACTAGAGCGTGGTTTTCCCTCCATCATCTGGCAACACTTGTCCTGACCAATGGGCCTCTGTAGGCGTGTCCCTTCGCCTGGGAAGCAGAAGCAATGCTGGTTTTGGTTGTTGCTGTGGTTTTTTTTCTATTGGTGTCATGAACGCGTGCGTTGCTCATACCCCGAATGGCTTGGCTGGCTGGCTGGCTAGGAGAGAGACCAGCACCGTGCCGTGAATTGCGTGTGGTGCAGTGATTGATAAAGGGTCGTTTTTGGAGCATTGGAGAGAGACACATTGCCAATGAGATAGAGATGCACGTCCAACGTGGATTGTGGCGAATTCGGCTGCGTTGCTCAAAAGATCGGGGCCTCGTTTTCGTGCGGGTGTGCAGCCGAACGCACTCGGGGTAGCTGCATTGATTTATTTTTATAAAGAAAAAAAAACACATTTGTCTCCGGGTGACGATGGCCTGGCATCTGGACAAGACTACGGTAAGTTTTGTTGTTTTGTTATTTGATTTAATTGCCACTGTGCCCTCCCGCTTACCTTACCCATGGGGTGGCACGGATTGAATTTATCTCATGCAGAGGAGGCCTTTATTTTACCATGCCCATTGAGATTTGAGATGCTTCTTTTGGATCAACCACACGGTATACAGAAAAATAATGCGTGGAAACTTAAGGGATACATTGACATGGTACAATGCTATACTTTACCTGTACAAGGTAATGCAATATTTCTGCGTGGTGGACATCAAAGGGACATTGCTGCGAAATCCCCCCTGTTCTACTGTGCAGTACTTCTATGCGTCCACGTGTTTGAACCCCTCCTGCAACTGGGAATGACCAGCGTGGGGAAGTATGGTTAAACAGCACCCACATGCTGGAGTGGACTAAGCAATAATAGACCGTACACGTGTACTTACTTGTACTATAATTACGTGGCATTTAATTTTAAATAACGGGCAATTGCAAAGTTTTTTTGGGGGGACTAGCCTGATGAAGACCGCTTGTCTTGCGATCGAAACGTCGTGAGTTCTTTAGCTTTTTTTATCTTAAATTTATTATATATTTTCTATTTTCTATCTACGTGACTTTACCGAAAGAACCAAAAATATGGGACTAGCCCTGCGTTGTATATGTTACATGCTTGAAGTACAACACACGGACGTGCATTGACATTGTATTCAGTAGAGATGTGTTTAAACGTTTGGCATGTTCATTTTTTTAAGTGTAAATAATATATACCTTTATTTACCGTACCACGTGTGGACTCAAAAGAGGACCATGTGCGTTTACCCCCCCCAACCACAATGAGAAGAATACTGTACTGTGGGAAGTCACTTCCATCACGAAAAGGCAGTAAATCCGCAACAGATACCCTTGGTAGTTCGAACAAATAAAGTTTATATGCCCTTGTGTTAACCTCGACACTAATGCACACAGCACACGGGTTGACAATAACAATGAACTGTACAGTACTGTACACAAAACTAGTCAATGTTACATGATATATCCTGCACTGATCAATGAGATTTGTTGAGCTGCCCTCTGCCGACTACCAATTAGCACAGCCCCAGAAACATCTAGAACAACCTGGCATGCATGCTGGTCGCCCATCCAAGCACTATATTTAAGTTCAATCCTGCTCAGAATAATCGTGGTGTATCAAGTCGACATAAACTTATTTATTACTCTGAATGCACATGGAAACCTACAGAGGCCGTAGTGCTGTTAAAAATAATGTTGTATTTATACGACGTGTCATGTGACCAAAGAACACCAAGCTAGAGTTACAACAATTTTGCTTGCTTGCCCTTCTGCTTTAATCCGAGTGGGTTAAAATCTTCTTTATTGGGGGGGTGTAGTGTGGGTTCGCAAGCTATGTGTGGATGGGTCTGAAGGAATAGCTCAAAATAGAAAAGACAAAAGGTCTTGCCAAGAAAGGAAAGCAGATAACCAAAGAATGTCCCTTTGCCACACGGGCACTCTTACTTTGGTGAGAGCTTTGCTTGTGTCGTGGCTATCCCTGGCAGGCATTCACAAGCACAGTATTTATTGGGGCACAAATCAGTGGGGCACAAATCAGTAGGGCCAAACCAAAGGAGATGTAATTAACAGAGTTTTATGTCCGCTTGCCAACGGGTTGTTACTTGGTATAAATGCCCACAAGGGCCAGGGTGAGCAAACTTGCATGCGTGTCTGCCAATTCCATGGAAATGCAATGTTTTAAATGTCGAACGTGGCACTGAGGCAATGTATAGTTGTGGCTGTATTTGCAAACCCTGATTGTTTGCAGTTGTCAAGCAAAAGGTCAATATGTAAGTTGTTAACCGTGCAGGTCTGGGCTTGTATTTTTGTTGATGGTTTCTCTTTGGCCACACTTGGCAGAACTTGGTTGCTATACTCGATCACACTTATGTGATGGTTCAACTTGGATGTGAGAACAAGTGTCCTGCAACCTTATATAGCCAACGTCACGTAGGGAAAATACTATGCTTGAGAGGTTTTAATTTACCATTAATATTTAACAAGGTACACGACAGTAGTTTTATATGTAGAGCTAAAACGTGCTTCTTACATAATCATGTAAGTAGTTGTGAGCAGAATGAATGGTCATATGGAGCCATTGTATTTTTTGTGTGATGTCAGTGACAGGTGTGTAATCGATGTTTAAAAATATAGTTTGCTAAGTATCATCAGTTATACATTTGAAATATTTTAGCAAGTCTGGTTTTATTTGGCTGAATTACGCTAGCTGGTCTGAGTTTACGTTTTCAAACAATAGGTGCTGCAAGAACAATTGGAGAGTAAAGCGCCTTTATTTAATGTTCTTAAATAACAAAATGAAGCTTACATTGTTCAATTGCCTCTTTGGCCCCACCTATTGTACAAAATGTGGAAAACACAAACTGGATGATTTCAGCCAAGCCACCCGGAGCACGACTGTCGTCCTGCAGCTTTTGAATTTCAATTCGTGATCGCTAACGGAAAAAAAGTTTCTTTCTCCAACTCTGCGAATAATACTTTTTTTTGTTCTCCATAGGAAGGCGACCGCCTGGGCATGACAGCTGCGAAGGCGATCATCGTGGCTGGTGTGCCGTGCTGGGCTACGTTTGACGGTCACCGAGGCTGCTGCTGCTGCTGATGAAATGGAGGAAGCCAGTGGTGGTGCTTGTGCAGAGGACCCAAAAGTGGCAGCAGTGGAGGGGGATGAGGAGGAGGAGGATCAGGAAGATGGAGCCTCTGCTTCCCTTGTGCCGGAGGATGCCGTGGGCTTCCCTGCAGGCAGGCCTCCCCCCGTGCTGGCTGGAGCGGACTGGTCGGCCGCCCTCAGTTTGCCCGAGACTGAGAGCTGGCTGGCACACATGAGCGGACGTGTGGCGCAACTCGGCCGGGAGGTTCAGAGGGACGTGGAAGGTGTTCGGACTGAGCTTCATCTGAAGCAGTTCAAGGTGAGTGGCTGCATGCAGTGTTGTTCGTTTTCACAATTGGCAGAAATACATTCGGACAAAAAATTCCACTCTGTTGACAGGAGTGCACGTACATCTTAAAAATAAACTCGTCTCCTTCGTTGTAAACAATGTCTTATGAGAGAATCATATTTGGATAATCTTATTTTCTATTGTTACGTATTCTTGTGTTTATATCAGTTGCAAATACTCGTTTCATTCTCTACTGCCTATAGTGTGATGTATATATAACTTAGTATTTGAAGTTAACAGCCGCAACAAATATTTAATAGCTTATATTGTATTGCCGTTACTAAACATTTCCATCGGTGAGTAATCAGACATTTATAAAGGTGGTATTATTCATAGGTGCGACTCTTCTGCATTGTCAGCCCAATGCTTAAATGTGTGTTCTGTTGGAAGTGCAAAATTAAATATTGATGATTTTTCTTCCGTTTAACAAAAGAGATAATTACAGTTTATCTCACACTGCTGATATAGCTAGAACATATGAATTATTGATTTGAGCATAGTGTGGCAACCTTTTGATGGCACTGTTGTATGTCTATGTTTACTGTACCGTTTTATAATGAGCTGCAAGCATTTGACAGCAAACTAATTTATTTTAACTGAACAGCAGTGGCTGGACATTAGTTAGAGTGTTGTGTTGCTTTAACATGGAATACAAAATATTTTCCAAACTAAGGTTGCTTGTAAAATGATCGTCATATTGCTCAGTGAGTAGAGATGTAACGATTTTTAACCCAGTGGTTCGAGTAAATTACATACAACATGTAATACCCAAGATCATCACTTCTTACACATGTGATTCATGAGCCGAGGAATCAATATCAATAAGTGAATCGATTATTATTTTTGATCCACTCATTGCATTGAGCTTATATGGAATGATTGCATTTGTTTTCTGTGGCAAAAATAGCAAGTGTCGGTACGTGAAATTGCCACCCACGCCAAATGTGTGCAAAGGAAAGTGCTGGAAAGAATTTACTACATGATTAAAACAGTGTGCAAATTTCCGACTCTTATTTTCTGCGTGCCTGTGTAATAGAGGTTGATTGATTGATTGACTATTTCACATGTGACAACCTATTGTGAAAAAAGTTTGTTTTTCAAGTGTTACTTGGATCAACAGGGGACAATAACGTAACAAAGCTTAGACTTGTAGAAAACGCATAGCAGTTCTACAGGAGACGTTCAGTTAAAACATTAGCAATAGATGCAGATTGTTAAAACAAGCAAACCGAAAAAAGTCTTGCAAAAGCAAGTCACAGTACACAAAAGGCATAGATCACTTCGGAGCAACTTTTAAAACATACTTTCAAAACAGGGTGCAGAAATTATATTGAGTAAATATACAAATGTGATGTATTCACATATTCCCCAGTAGACTATCCAGTTTGTCATGAAAGACGATGGAGAGGGAATGGACTTGATCTCCAAATTACTACAAGTCTGCACGGATTATGTACGGACCTATAACTCTCAATACTTAACAGAGAACATTTGAGGCTCATTTTAAATTAAATATAACTGAATCACCTATTTAAATCAATGACCGGATGAAGGCCTTCCAAAACGATGGTGATCATTTGGATTTTCTAATAATACTTAATCATATACTGGTCAGCAGAAGGTTTGGTGAAGGTGGGGACCCAGTACCTGATCAGATATCACTACTGGTGTTAGCCTTGGCTGGGAATCAAACTTACATCACAAGTTTCATAGTACAGTGTATTAACGACTCTAGTAATACTGTTGGCTTGTATTGTAAGGTATTACGTCTTGAATAAGTAAATAATTAAGCTGAACGGGAGTTCACTGCTGATGGCTTTAAAAACATGAAATAATATATACCTCTCTGGTAGGATATTGGAAGATAATCTTACTTTCGCAGAAGTTGCAATGACTACTTTAACAATGCATTTATTATTATTAAATCTTAACCTCAGGTGCACGCACAAAATGTTGTGCGTAAAAACTACGGAGTATTTACAGGTAATTGGTTAATATTGCGCCTGCAAGCCACTAGTGGCCACTAGTGGCTGCTATACATTCAGCACAACGTATATATGCACTTTTATTAATGGATTGAAGCACAATCTTGAATAGTACCAATTCATCAAATTGTTTAGGGGGTTGGATACGTGTTACATCAACTATCCCTTAACCACAATGATCATGTAGGTGCTAACGATGCTTTGAAGGCAGTCCTTAGCGGTCTTTGTCGTTATTCTGGCTTCTATAAGTCCATGTTATCACATTTCTCACAATTGATCTTGTGTCATCCTCTCCTTCTGCTGGAAAGTCTCTTGATCGCGTGATCTGTATGCAGATATGGTGGCTATTGATGGCAGTTTTTTTTTATAACATTACTAACCCCTGGGATTGCTTGTTTGAAAGATACACCCAATATAAGAGGATGTCCTTTAAAAACATGTGAAATGATGTCAGCCGTCTGCAATTAAAGCGATAGGATCTTTATCCAAACAAAGCCACATTTAACTATAACAATTTAGACATGTTAACTTCTTAGATGCTGTACAGTTATCAAGAGTACTGTATATAATATTTTATGTATTGAGTTCGATGAAAAATCATGTCCGTTATATTGTAGCATTGGTATCATCGGCCACGATCTGTCCACTGCTTTAATGATGCTTCTCAATCCTGTGATGGAATAAACAATCTGTCGAGCTCCGATGCACGATCCGATCTTTACCTTCCATCTCTTCAGTCGTTGTACTCTCAGTAGTCTTTCCTATTTTGGCTGCCACTGTTATTAGTAGTCCCTTTCACCAGCCATCATTCTTTTACCGATGTGTCCTACCCCTACCCAAGCCCAATTACTTTTTTTAACAGTCATTATGTTTTTTACTTGTGTATTTCCTCTAATCTCTGTGTTCATCGTCATGCATTTCAGTGCAACTCCAAGCGTGCACTTTTCTAGGCCTACGCACACTCTTTTAGCCTTTATTTCTAATTTTCTTTGTCAATGTCCATGTTTTTTTATCCCTATGTCAGCAGGTAATATTCACATTTTAAAAACAATCTTTTATAGCTACGTTGTAATGTTGATTTTCATTGTTATGTTTCGTTTTACAAAGGAACTCCACCCTGTTTTTTTGTTGAAGGAGCTGGGAATCATGATATAAGTATATTTTCTTAAATAAAAAAAAATGGCAGGATGGATTTTAGTTGTCAGATTCGATATTCCACACATTTGACCAAGTCAGCTTCTCCTGCCACTCATCATGGTCATTGGTCCCCATCATGAAACAATGGTCTCGTTTGTGCTTTAAATACTCGATTGGGTGTCTTGAATTTGGAAAGGCTCACTCAGCAACAGAAACACGGAGGGGGGGGGGGGGGGGAAAGGGGGGGGTAATTGGAATGCTGTCCTCTGGTAATGGTTTACAGATTTATTAGTGTAACTGGTCTTCCTTGAAGGCAGTTGAATTGAGGGTTGCTGGCCAAAAAAAGTACTACATTTCAGCATAACAGTGCAAGAGTTTGTTCCAATAAATAATATACAACTTTAAATACAGAATAAAACTTGCTTGATGCATTGAAGCCAACAGCATTATTGATCCAGGTATATTCTAAGAAAAAAATATAATAATGTACAGGAAAGCCCTTTGTTAATCCACTGCTGGTGGAAGACCGCATAACTGCATCAGTCATGGAGGTTGTTTGACCATACTTCACCACACCGACCCGTGCAGGTTGGTGGAGTAAGGGGGCTCAGGACCGATTCAGATATCACTCACCACTGATGTTAGCCATTGCCAGGAATCCACTAAGGTCACTGGGGTTCACAGTGCAGTTTGACGGTCAGTGTGCCAACACTCCACCTTCAATTACTGTCTTCGGCTACATATGCTGATCATATACTGCAAAAATGTATCATCTTACATAGATGCTATTAAACTAATTGTTTTCGCATCATATTTTGCATTACCAAAGTAACCAAGCTTGAATGCCAAAGGACACGATGGTGGTAACCAGTAACCACAACAGTGCAGTCTCTATGCAAAGGCTTGAAAGGGCTTTTCAAACTGTACATTCCATACAAGCAAGAGTAAAACGATCATTGGGGCTGGCAAGGTTAAACACAGACCGCAGAGAAATAGAGTTGTGCAGGTAAGACTATCAGTCTATCACCTTCAATACGCCACTGTTGACTGATTTTATGCTATTCTCCGTGCAATCTGTAGCTATTTATCTTTGATGAACAGTTCCAATGGAAATCAGTGTAAGCCACAATTTCCTTTTAGCGCGATATCGTTCGTTTTCGACATACAATAGGGCACCTGAGCCTCCTATTTGATTCAGCTGGATAGCTGCTGTCGTTTTGCTTTCTGATGATTGCATTTACTGTGTGATAGGGTCAATAGTCACATGCAGTTTATGGTCATAAACATGCATTGGGGTAGGTCGTAGTTTACATCAAGAGATATTAGACAAGCTTTATTCCCAGGCACTCTCGCTTTGCCGAAGTTGTGTACATTAACCAGAGTGTGATTATACAACTGAGTGCCATTGTTTGGGTTTGCCTACATAAATTATGCAGGAAGTGACTCCATAATCGGAATGTTTTTGGTAAAAAAAACATAAAACATGTGTTCTCCTGGGAAATCAGGGGCCAGCCCTCATGAGTCATTGTGCAGCTTGGAAGGAGGGTATATTTGATGTACTGTTATGAATTGTATCACATGTAACCCATTATGATGAGCACAATTTTAATGAAAGCTATCCTGCTTTCAAAGTAATTGAAATACAATGGGAAATAACATTTTGCATAATTGCCTTCCTTGCTGTACAATGCCTGTCATTAGTAATTTGTGCTCTCTTAGAGGATTTCTCTTTTGGCCCTTATGTATGAGCTGGGTGTACACTAGACTTTTGGCTGCAAGAGCACAACCAATCAGATGCACAGGCACACGTATTTGGGCACCACCTTCAACCTCACGTAACAGTCTTTTTTTCATATTGATCATTTTATTTATATACTCGGTAAAACCTCACTCGGTCTCAAGACTGTTTTCAAGAGGATGCCGGATTGGGATGTTTGGCAAACTATGCTGGTGAATGTTTCACCAGATAACTCAATGAAACTCCGTCACATTTGTGGGGTGACCCTCAAAGCTCTGCAACAGTTATATTCAAGAATCCACTGCTATAGTGTTATTTCCTGGCTACTTCAATCCAAGTTCATACCACCTGGTATTCCCAGACAGTCACCCATCTATGTACGAACAAGGCTTACCTTCTGAGATCTGACGAGACCAGGCGTAATCAGGATAATTTGCCTACAGGGTGATCTAGTGATGGAAAAATTAACCCGTCCTTTATATGCGTGGCGGCTAGAGTTCTCTCGTCCTCTGGCTTGAGATGGCTGCCACCTATGGGTCAGATGATTGCCTGCCACCATTAAGCAATTGGTAATTACATATAAAAAAGTTTTCCTAAAAAGTGTAAAGTTATGGACATTGTTTTTCACGAAAATAAATTGTCACGCACAACGAGTCTGTGTGCAAAATGTCAGCTCGATTGGATCACGGGAAGTGGGTTAAAAAACGACCGAAAGATTTGCACGGTCGTAAGCAAGCAAGCAAGTGAACTTAATATAAAGGATTTAAAAAGCACGCTTATCCTGCTGTCTCGGCTCCAAATCACATGTTGCCGAATGTTAATTTCCATCCTATTTTTTTTTAATGTGCAGATGTCTTAATCATTAACAATTAGGCAAATCATTTAAAGTGAGGGATTTATGATGTTGCTATAATTGGTATGTCTTCTCGTCATTTAATACCTGATCAAATCTTTGTTAGCTGTTCCAAGTAGCTTAACTGTCAGACCTCTAAATGGTTTCATAAAATATCTGAATTTATTGAGAAAGGTTTCCTTCTATTTGTTATATATGATATACGCTTCAAATCTAGAAATATATATGACCAGTCTTTGACGTAATGAAAACATGGCTAAAATATTCTGAGCACGCTTCGAAATCTCAACGATCAAACTGATTGAATGCTAAGGTAAAACATAATTTACAGCAGAAGCTAACAGCGCTATAATAAAATGAAAATCCTGATGTGCCTGTGATAGAATGCATTAGGAGGAATTCATATACTGTAGTTAATTTAGGATTGGATTGTTTGACTTTTTTGTGAGTAATAACCATTTTCCCTTATTATTTATTACTGAAGCATTTTAACACGTAGGCTTTTGCAACTAATATTCATATTAAAGGTTTTTGGGTTAGATCGCGTAAGTATAAATGTGTTGTGTCGGGTGGTGGCAGATTTTAACGACACATTTATATATTTACGCGATCTAACCCAAAAAAAGCTCTGTTATGGAGATTAGTAATCAGTGAATTAGTATGTTTCCTCTATAAGGAATTGTAATTGTAAGATGTATTACTTAATAATAGGCTTCCAGGCCGCACTAAACCTGTAGCATTATATAAAAAAAAGTTGTGATGACACCCACTGTAAAATAAACCTTAGGTTTTTTTCAAGCTTTCCTTGTCTTATTTGTATAAAAAAATTCATAACATAATTCGCAGCCATGTCAATACACTGCTGGTTGCACCTTTTCTATATTCTGCAACTTAATTTGCCAGAAATGTAAAATGTAACAAAGCACCCACTTCACGGTTGCCAGTTCATGGTGCCGTCTGATAACCACCGCGCCGCCAATGTTCATCTTTTAAGAACCCCATTGTACATTGCGCAAGCTAGCGGACCATGCCAATAGCCTACCACATTCTCACCGTAATCTCCACCTTTATTTCGCTCTCGTCGCGGCAGGAGATTTGCGTGGAGGTGTCGGGCCGCTCGGAGTGCGTGCGCTCCCTGCTGGGGACCGAGTTCCCGCTGAGGCTCCTCTCCCCAGCGTGCGCGGTGCCGGGAGCTGTGCGGCACGCGGGCCAGCGCTGGCACCAGCTGCGAGTGTCGCTTCAGGTGCTCCAGGAACGCCTGCTCCGGGAGAGCAACGGGCGCCACCCGCCCGCCGCGCGGAGCCTGCGAGCGTCGATGGTGACGGCATACTGGGACGATGTAAAACATTTGATCACTTTTTTTCCTTTCTGACGTTGTACATGTATGTATATTTTCCATGCATTGTGGCCTGCCAGTTGCAGCGCAACGTCTAGATGAGACGTATGGCTTGGGAGAGTAGGCGGAAATACCCTCCTGGAGGGGTTATAGAGCTCACTCAAATGGAGATCCTTCTGTCTGCAGCAGTTTGAAGAAGAAATTGCAGGGCTGCACCAGTTACCATTAATTTACCATTTTTTTTTATGTAACTTCATTTGGGGAAGTGACCTGACCAAGAAGTTGCGCGTTCACCACTTTCACGGTTTCGTTCCAGCAGCCACTCTGGTTATTACGTATTAACCAACACATACTATGCGGAGTCAGCTTCACAGGCGATGTCAAAGATCCCCAGACGTCATTCACAAGAGTGGGCTGGCGTCATGGCCCAAATATGAAGAATTCCACTGCAAATTACTCAGGATTTTGGATTGCAACCTTCACCCTCCTACTCTGAAAACGTGACAGAACCCTCCTGAAAGAGAGTCATCAGACTCGGACAGGCTTTACATTGGCGAAAAGCAATATAGATTTGTCAGAAATTAAAATTAAGAATGTAGTAATTCTCCCCTCTTGACGGTTCAATAAATTGTCACAATTCAGGGTCATGATTCGATTATTATGAATCGGTTGTGTTTTGAATATTATTTAACCAGAATAGACCCTAAAGATTTACATCTCATTCCCCATTGAATGTATAATCAGCCGTGATGGTATGACTTGAGAATAGATGGTGCTTCAAACAAACAAATGAATAGGATAAAATGGCAGTGGTGCACACACACATATAAAAAATACTCAGAATAGTCACCTATAACATTGCCTAATAGCAGGGAAATATAGCTGACAGTATTACAAAAGGTTATCGTTTAAGATCACACTTACGTAAGAAATTATGACTACTTGGTATCATGGATAAAACTGGACAAATGTTATAATGTATGTCCGTTTGCAGAGTTTATAAATGCTTTTCTGTTGGTCACCAGCATGGGCTATACGCAGCCTGGTTGCTTGGTGAAAAAATGGCCCTGATGCTTTTATATATGGCCACATTTTTTATTGTGTGTCAGTCATTCTTCATGTGTGCTCGCGCGATATGATAAGACGAATGAAATGTCTTGACTCGTAAAATCATCGATACATTGTACATTAAATTGTAAATAAGCAATTTTCACATCATCATCAGCCTTAATCTATCCACTGCTGGATGAACGGCCTACCCAATAAAATCTCCAGCTTTGCTAAAATCCCAATTAAAAGCAATACATTTGAGTAGGCTGTGCAATTCTGTGAAATAGGATGTGTATATTTTTTGATCAAACGTTAATAAGTGAAAAACACACTTTTTGCAAAGTGTGCATTATAAATGTCTGCAATGGAGACACGCACACACACCAAAGGGGTCACGATGGTGGCTGGCCTCTTTTCAAAAAGCTTTGCCACCCTGGAGGTCTCCCCGACTGGAGAGATTTTAGATGCAGCGTTTACAATTAAAGAGCGAGATTGTGCTCCAGTAATACCGTGTGCCCCAGGGCTGCCCCCTTAGATGGGATTTTATGGGCATGGCTGTGTCCTGCTGTGAAAGATAAGGAAAGTCACCTTGTAATCGTATGTTCAATTTGTCCACACAAAACACTTTTTTTTTACCACGAGTAAATCTCCCCCCCTCCCTTTCCTCCTTTAATTGCCCGGTTTATTTGTCAATCGTTTGTTCTCAATCTCGGGTAAACAGAATGTTTTTGTCGATAACAAATTGTGGGATTTGTTATTATTACTAAAATTTAAATGCACATTTCAGATCTGTTATTAAACTCTAAATGGCTTCAAATGTGTACACCCTACCTTGTGTGGTGTCTTGGCGTCTTCCAAGTACCCGTTGCTACAGGTGACCACGATTGCCAGATGGCAGGGTCGGTCCGAATAAATACAAAATCTGCACTTTACGGGTCTGTAATGTTCATCAGCAATTTCTGAAAAGAAATAAAATGTAGCATGAAACATTTCTGCGTCTAATTAACAGTGTATTAATGTAAAATATACATTTATTTGAAAGTGCGTGACTTTCAGTAGTTTGTCTTTTCGAATAAAAAAAAAATCTGAAATTGTTAAAGTAATGGTGAATGAAGGGCTGATGCGTTAGAATGTCAAGGACTTTCTTGAAGCACGGTAAAAGCAATTTGAGTATAGGATGCATTAAGTTGCCAGCTAAAGTCATCAAGTCATCACTGTCTCAGATTTGGTGAAATTATTTTCTTGTAATGCCTCAACCCGTGAAACCTTCCTAGGGTGCCTCATTATACACTTAACTGCTTTTCTACAATGGGAATAGCAGAAGAGTGAGAATTAATGTGATGTATCTGACATGAATCTTCCCTTGAGACCGAGCCTATTGGACCGCCTAAATAGAGGCCATAGCATGAAACCAAACCATTACTTTCTCACACGTTGGCCCAGAGGGAATTTATTTGAAAATGTCTTAATTAACAAGTGTACATGTGGTTCTCGTCTACATATTTACACTGGGTAAATAGCCTATGCTTAAATGGTTTCGGGCATACATGTATATTAGAATTCTATTATTTCCGATTGTAATGAAAATTATTACATTTTCATAATGACTTCATTGAAATAAAACATGTATTCTATTTTACATAGTATGTTCGTTGAAATACAACTGCATAAATTAACAATCCCTATCAAGTTGTATATAATTATACAGGGTGTTTAAAAAGATGGACCCGATTTGAAATCGCTTTGCTTTGAAATTGGGTCCATTTTAAAACACCCTGTATTCTAATGTAATGGTAATAAAATATAATAAGTGCATTCAATGTTTTTTTAATAAAATGTGTTATATAATGTAAAAAATGTAGTTGATGAAATATTACGTAGATTTAAAATTAATAAAAAAACGGTGTGTGTTTTATCTGTTCCAGAATAAGAAACGTGTGTTCCAGGAAGTCATCGGTAATATTGACACCATACAAGCACGTGAAACATTGTTTATAAAAAGTGAGCTTCCCATTGGTTATAATAATGTTCCATCGGATGAATTGCTTAAATCTTTTGAGGCTCCGTTACAATCTTCCTGCTCTGGAGAGGGCAATCCAGATTTTGAAAAACAACTCTGTGCATCAACCAATTTGAGCACAAAACGTGAAATATACGAAACACACTTCTCTAAAGATTTGAGGATGGAATTTTCTGAGCTACCTTGGCCGTCTAAGCAGGGCAAGAAGGAAGATAATGGTGAATGTTCACAGGTCGTTCAGGCATTACAAAGCGAGCAACTCGTTCAAAGAATACAGACTGATACCGAGACCTTGCAGGAAAGGTCTGCACATCAACTTGTGCCTGAACAAAAGACCACGAGTGCGTTGCTAAATGAGTCTCAACTCTATGGAGCGGCCACCAATGAGGACAGTATGTTTCAATCCAGCAATGTGGCTTCAATGTCTGTTGATGGCAACTCAAACAATTGTGGAACAGACTATAAGTCGAATGATATTGTTCACTCTGACATTTCACTGAATGCAAAGTGTAGGAAAGGTCTGTCAGAAAACAGGTTAGCAGGACAAGAGGGCTCCAGCTCGGTTAACAAAAATGAAAGTGCGTGTTTCGACGAAGCTGTGTCCCAGGGCTTCTCAAACTCTCGAAGGTCTCTGGGGGCATTACAACAGAACACAGTTTCTCACGGTAACCACCACAGACATGAGGTTGAAGTGGATGAAGAAGAATATACTTATTCCCCTGTTCATCTCGGTTCAATTCATTCATCAATGCATCGAAGAGGTCATTCCCAAATGTTCAATGGAAGTTTGAAGGATCTGAGAAGCTGCTTACATTATAGGGCAGAGCTGGCCACTTCAAACTCACGCCTGCGTAGAAGCAAGTCTGTAAATATGAATAATTTATTACCGGCTGGTGAAAGTTCGTTTCGAAGGTTTCATGGAACCAAAGCAAGTTCAATGCAGTCTGTTTTATCCGCTCCAGAAACAATTGATTCTTTTAGTAATAGACTGCCACTGTCGTCGAGTCGTTACTTTTTAGATATGGAGTATGAAGCGATGCTGGATTTTGCTTATCCACTCCATGAAGATGGACGAACTCGGGAGGATACCGAGGAGTTGAATGACCTTTTGCATCAAATAAAAATCTATGAGAATCATAACCCTACATGTAACAAATTAACCAAGCAACAATTGTCCACACCATTTTTGAGGGATGACCGATCACACGAGCGCACATTTTGCACAGCTGCAGGTGCAGCCCACGACGTTACAAATCTCTTGTATGTTGGTGAAGGTTTCAAAAGACCACCTCAAGGGGAAAGCCTGTCACCGGATCACATCTCGGCATTTAAAGTTATGCCAGTGAGCTGCCGTGGGAAGAAGCGAAATCATAAACGGAATGTTACAGAGACGGACGATTGGTATGGCTCTGATGAATACCTCGCATTGCCCACCCAGTTAAAAGAGGCTGAGGCTGTAGCACAGAATCTGGAGAACTTGGTGGATATGTTAGACACAAGTTCATTGTACAGATCATCTCTGAGCATTGGTGACCTTGGAACAGCAAGAAGCATTGCTGAAGACATCTCTTCTATTAGAAGTCAGGATGCAGGTGACCTGAGGCCAAGCCACAAAGAGAAAGAGATGGGTCAAAGCAAACTGTCAGTTTCTCTACCACATGAAAGACCACGGAGTGTGTGTGACTCTGTGGAATCTGGCCCTCTTTGTGATATCATGTCTGATGGGATGTCACCTGTACAATTCTCAACCAGCAGTTATCAAGGGGGTGGGTTCTGTGGATCTTTAAACGAACACCAAAACCTGGGCAGTGAAAGTGCCCGGAGCGTCCAGCAAACCGGCTGGAAGCCACGTGACGCGAGTAGTCCAGTCAGCGAGGGGAGACCCCCCACCCTGCAGAACTGTGGTCGCCACCAATCGCAGCTGATCAAGGAGATACAAGATGACATTGAGCACCAGATCAACAACACAGCCATCTGGGAAAAAATCGAGGTATGATAATAAAGTTAAGGTGCAACCCAGAAATTGTTCGTTCTTGCCACTGTTGGCAGGTCTTCCACTAGAGGGAGCTTTAGAGAGCCCCTCTAATGGATATTGATTGGAGTTAATCGACAAATGGCTGATTAGGGTGGAGTTGTTCAGTGGTTGGCAACACTGCACCATGAACCCAGCGATCTCGGTTCAATTCCTGGTCGCAGCTAAAATTAGTGGCGAGGAAAACTGAACAAGTCCTAGACACACTTGCCCCTTCACCAACCCACACTGATCAGCGTGCTGACATGAGATCACACAGCCGCCATGACCAACAGCATGGCGATTCATCCAGCAGAAAGTATGTTATTTGTTCAACATGATATTTATTTGTCAAACAAGACACATGGGCCATTGATAACAAAAAAGGCCGCCTGTTATTGTATTTGATAATTATAAATGAATAATTTTCCGACTTTTCAATCCACTGCTGGCACCCTCATGCTGTGACATCATTTGAGCTCACGCTGGACAGTGAGGTTTGTTGAAGTTTAGGCCAACAACTGGTTCATAGATCACTTACCACTGATGTTAACCGTTGCCGGGGATTTAACCCAAGTCGCATGGCGCATTGTGCTAACCACTGTTCCATTTCATGTTGCATGAACCTTAATGGTTGCACGTACTGAATATGCTTTTGAGTTTTTTGCGAATTTTACACAGGAAATAACCAATGTAATCCACACTGAGACCTCCTTTAACAGTGGCAAAATATAGTAATAGGTTTTTACCCTTTCAACTGGTACAAAAACTGACACCTTTATACAAGGCATCATCAGAGTTTCTTTTTTTTTGCATTTTGACTGCTTGTGTTGTGGTTATTGCAAACATGATGTCTTGTATAAAGGTGTCAGTTTTCGTACCAGTTGAAAGGGTAAAAACCTATTACAATGTAATCTATTCAATCTTTCTAAATAACGTTGCGAGAAATAACCCAACTCCAGGAGGTATTTTAGTTTTTGTTGATGTTTTGATCAAAGATATGTTAAAATAAATTGAGTTTTCTGTCAAATGTTTTGCTCGTATAATATTAATGATGTATTGAACCATGTTTCATTCTGCTTAAAAATCGAGACCCAAAACGAGTCGAACCATCAGCATTACATAATAAATCGCCGTACAAATAAAACAATTCCTACGATGCCAGTTTGTATTTTTGAGAGGGTGTGAGCTGACCTGAGATGGGGCAAACACGTGTTCTCTGTTTGGCATTCATGCATTTCCAATGCATGAGACGTACCTTTGTCTCCACTAGCAGTGCCGTTGGGTAAGGGGCAAGGTTGTGGGGGGGGGGACAGTCAATCCACTTTTAACTTGAACCAAAAATAGTATAATTATACACCACTGTGTACACGTCACCTTGCTGGGTATAAGGTCACAGTGGTGGGAATGCACCAAAGGCACTGTCAAAGTTGGTCTGTAGTGTTGTCATCATAATCCGCCACGATGTATCCACTGCTGGATGAAGCCATTGCTATCTCTCATGATCTCCAGGATAAATAAAGATTCTGATTCCGATCTTACGATACAAAAATCCATCTATATGTATGTTGAACTTCTTTCACACCGTACGTAGCTAACAATGTTAATTGGAGGTGCAGGGGAAGGACAACAAGCCACAACACAGCTCCTGCACACTAATTGAAAAATAATTAAATTCATGTTGACTCGTGATGCTTTTTTTTTCTTGTTTAGATGTTTGTAAAGAAACTTGATGTGCTGATTGACTGGCTGTACGATGCCATGGAGACAACCGAAAACTGGACACCCCCAAAGGCAGAAATAGACAACCTGAAGGTCTACCTGGAAACCCACCTGGTCAGTCTTAGTACCCAATTAACAATAATTGTAATTATATGTATACATCATTTACAGCTTTGTTAATCCACTGTTGGAAGAATGCCTCTCCATCCCATTGTTTGACCGTACTTCACTATGCTGGCCGTTGTGGATTGAAGGGTTGGTGCGAGGAACAACAGGACCTGTGGATGATGTTAGCTATGGCTGGGTGGGTATGGAATTCGGGCAGCCGGGTTCACAGTGCAGTGCGTAAACCACTGGCCACTGCTGCTCCCCACCTTGGTTCCGAACACTTTTTTTATTATTGATGGATATCGCTGCGGGTGTTATTGGCCGTAAAAATGCGCCCCATCCGCTTTATAGTGACCATTAAAGTTCCCCATGATGTAATTCGCCAAAGTAACGACTGTTGTGTGCTGGCGTCATGCTCCAAATTTGTAAAATGACCCTCATTGGACACCTGGAAAAAGGGGCAGCAGACTGAGGTGGGGCTGTACGAATTGCGATTTTTCTGACAGATATTGCAATTTGATTGGCGATTAAATTTTTGTTAAGTCAAACCTCAGTTCAATATCCACCAGAGGTGGGACAAAGTCATTGTTATGCAAGTCCAAGTCGAGTCTGAAGTCATCAAATTCATGACTCGAGTCTGACTCGAGTCCAAGTCACATGACTCGAGTCCACACCTCAGATATCCACCGTCTAATAGATTTAAAACATGTGATGGAGCATTACCACATGATACTATCAAAATATGAACTGCTCTATATATTCTAATGCAAGGATGAGAATGTATTTATTAAAATGTTTTCATTGAAATAGAACAATCAAACATAGAATAATTGTTAAGTGAAATGTAGTTTTTTTTTGGGTCTTTCGGTAAAGTCACGTAGATAGGTTCAAAGAAAATAAAAAATAACAATGATGACGAATGCTTGTGTTGCGATCGAAACGTCGTAGTTTTTTCTTATTTTCTTTGAACCTATCTACGTGACTTTACCGAAAGACCCAAAGAATCTGAATTCCTGCAGTCACGAAAGCTTTACGTCAATGTTTAAATAAAGTTAAACAATTCCAATAAGAAATAATATGACTTTTCAGATCGTAAAAAATCGCAGCCTTTTCGATTTGCTAATCGCATTGTTTCAAATTGCGATTTCGATTTGAAATCGATTAATCGTTCAGCTCTACTCGGAGGCATTTCTGGGTAAACAAGAATAATACAGGGAGGAACAATGTTCCACACTGCCCACCAGGGATTATTATTTGTCTGTCTTTCGTGCATATTTGTCTGTCGTGCACGAATGTGCTGTCCAACCAAGTTCCTACCTGCCCACTCCGAAGGAACGTGTTACATGATAATAAAATAACGTCTTGGTGCACTGCTGCCCTCTGCTGTTAGAGGTTACCTTCGGCAATTACAAATGTGGGTTGACGGTCCTCGGACTCGCTCTTGAATGAACTAATCTGGCATCAGGTTAACTTCTGGATGTTATAACAAGTACGTTGATATAGATCCCCTCATTTAATTTTCAAACGTAGATAAGTTAAATCAATTAAAGGTGGGTGGCAAAAAGGTTTTATGTTGTCGTGTGCATTGTTTTGTGTTGGTTATGTGCTGTTGAAATGGGCAGTAGCCATGTGGTTGTACATGCAATCATTGACCAAAAGGTGGCAACATTGTACCGCTCGAACACGTTTGTCCCACTGCGTTGCTTTTGCAGTTGTGCGGAAGAGTTCTGCGGTGTGTTTTCTGGATGTACCGCGTGTTGTTTTTGGCACCATGTCCGACGTTTCGCGCCATGTGTTGGGAGCCATCTCAGTCCTTGAAGAAGCACGTGGATCGAATCGTCGGACATACCGACCTACTGAAAGAACCAAGAATATTTTTTTATTTAAAGCCTTCGTGACTGCTGGGATTCATATTCTTAGTCACGTAGAAGGGATCCAATAAAAGAATAAAAATATAAAACAAAATTCTCACGACGTTTCGACTGCAACACAAGCAATCATCATCAGGTGTGAAATCCACAGCATGAAAATTGTCTTGCTGATGATGATTGCTTGTGTTGCAGTCGAAACGTCGTGAGAATTTTATTATTTTATTGTTTCCCTTCTACGTGACTTTACCGAAAGAACCAAGCTTAAAAACCAGTCTATAGTCTACATTATAGACTGCCAGTACGCTCACCGAGGTTAAGAACCAGGCCACAGTCTACATTATAGACTGCCAGTACACTAACCCAGCTTAATAGCATGGCTACAATCTACACTATAGACTGCCAGTACACTCACCAAACTTAATAACCAGGCTACAGTCTGCATTATAGACTGCAAGTACACTCACACCGATTAAGAACCAGGCTACAGTTTTCATTAATGTTTTTAGTTTTATTATTATTTTTATTTAATTTTGATCATTTTTATTTATATTCTCTTAATTTGTATTATTATCTTTATATCTACGTGATTTTACCGAAATAACCAAATAATATGCCTAAAGCACTATTTAATCCACATTTTTCCAATTTAGATTTTTTTAAACTTCAACTTAACAAGTTATGTTTCACGCATTATTTGATAAACCATTTGTAACTGACGACAGTCTAATCCAATGCTGGAGAACCTACAGCCCGTAGCCCAAATAAGGCCTGCAACTTATTTCCATATACTCCGCGTCGACATCAGGTTTACTACAACTTCTAAACAGCCTGCGAATTGTTGTTATCAGTCACTCTCAGCATCCGAGCCGCACTAATCGAGTAATAGAGGGGAATATGTTTGGCCTGGCAGCACTGTTTCTAATTTAGTGAGATACAGGTGAGCCCTTATTATTTTTCATGTTTTTATTGAATAAGACTAAGCTGTGTATTAATGTGTTGCCCACCAAATATATTTGGAGGCTTGTTCAGCCATGTGCTAATCTGTAATAACGCACACTCAAATCAGATGTTGTTCTCTTGCAGTGCTTCAAACTCAACGTGGACAGTCATTGTGCTTTGAAAGAGGAAGTGGTACAAGAAGGCAGGAGACTTTTGGAAATCCTTGTTTCTCAAAAATCTGGTGAGTGTCTTGTCCAATTGTAAATCATCATCGAACAGTCCGTTAACCGGTGCAACGCCGTTCATTTGCAGAATAAATGTTTGATCTTGGACTCGCACCAAATTAATATTGGTAATCTTGACGCTGAGATTTTTCAGCATCGGTTTATAATTATGGCTGGTGTGTTCAAAACAATAGCAAATAGGGTACCTAAATACAGTAATAAATAAAAATTCCAATAGCACAATGGTTACATATTTACAAAAAATATACTTTTGTCTTCAGTGTTGAAAAATCAGTGCTTGAGCAACCTGGATGCTTTGAGCGAAGAAACCGGTGCTGCATTGTTAATTTGTCTGCCTAATGACTTCCTTTCATGTTTCTGGCTTGCTCCTGATAAAGGCCCATCAGGCAACACGTTGGCAGACTTACGGGGCATTTTCTCATCATTGCTATAATTAGTTTTAACGCTGTGGCATATGCCATAAATATCTTATGATAAACAAAGACCTCACATAATTATCAGCAAACAACAACAAAGTTATCTGTGCACACTTGAAGTGTGTGACGCTCATTTTTAATCCTGCGATTCGGAGGTGGGATTGGTGAATCACACATCGCTCACTATGCATGTGACTCTCAACCTACGGGACTGAGGTGGCAAATAGCAGCACAGCAAGTAGGTTGCTGAACCATTGCTCAAACGTTTTGAGTGCTGTCTCGTCACACTTGCAAATAATCTTCTCCAGGCCCACCAGTTTGTCTCATCCATACTGTGTTTAAGCACAATACTGCAAGGTCAAGACACTTCTCTTTTTAAATCCTTTATATTAAGTTCGCTTGCTTGCTTGCTTGCGTGCTTGCTTGCTTGCTTACGACCGTGCAAATCTTTCGGTCGTTTTTTAACCCACTTTCCGTGATCCAATCGAGCTGACATTTTGCACACAGACTCGTTGTGCGAGACAATTAATGTTCGTGAAATTTTTTTTCCAAAATTTTACACTGTTTAGGGAAAACAAATTAAATATTTAATTACCAATTGCTTAATACTGGCAGACAATCATCTGACCCATAGGTGGCAGCCATCTCAAGCCAGAGGACGAGAGGACTCTAGCCGCCACGCATATAAAGGATTTACAGTGAAAAACTTTGTTTTTACGGGTTATACTTATTAATTCTTCCTTTGTACTGCTCGACTGTGGAATTCCCTCCGCTCTTCTTTTTTCCCCAGGTTATTATAACCCTGCTCAATTTGGAAAATGCGTTAACTCGAATCTATGACACCTTTGATATCGCTGTTTGTTGCCGGCCGCTTGGCATTTTGGGCTTTTGGGCCTGTGCTCGGCAACCGTGATAACAAAAAAAAACAGTTTCCTGCCACGAGCAAAAGACACCCATTGAGGACTTGGTCAAACATCCCAAAATGCAGGAGAGACCGTCCTTTACGGTGAGCCATGAGTCTCACTTGTGAGGCATTCCCGGATGATGGGAGAGAACGTCGTGAATAAGCTCGCGGCGGGCGGATGCGTGCGCGGCACAGGTCTGAGGGACACGCTCGATCGCATCGAGAGCCAGTGGCAGCAGCTGCAGCAGCAAATCTGCCGGCAGCACGGCTGGGTGCAGCGCGCCCTCGCAATCATCAAGAGTGACGTCCTCACAGGCGCCGAGGCGCTGTCGGAACGCGGGGGCCTCGAGATCGTCGCTGCCGGTGCTTCGCAGGTAACCGCCACGGGAGTGACCATCCCCCAACATCCCTATCACCCTCTACCCCCTCCCACCACCCTGCCCTGCTCTCCCAGCCTCCCAGTGGACCTACGGGATGTAGTAGCAGAAGCAGCAGCTGCACACGCGAGCTCATCTGCCCGAAAGGCGCGTCTTTCTCTTTTATTTTGACGGGCGCCATGCATCGCGAGCGCGAGCTGCGATTATTCCCTTTGTGTCGCATGCACGCACCTTGCCGCGTAGGACACTGCAAGAGCAATGAAAGGAATCAATCACGGCGTATCGGCGGACGTGGTGCCGTTGGAAAATTCTTTATTTATTTGCGCGCTCGTTTATTTTGTAATTGATGCAATTTTAAACGTTGTGACACTCCCCAAAGGCGAGTGGTTGCATTCACTTGGTGTGATTCTTTTTAAAAACTGTCCTAGCGTCCGCGTCGAGGCATGGAACTATGCAGGTTACCCGACTCTTAATGTCAACGCCCTTTACTGTCACGCGCTTCTCAGATCCCAGCAGTGTGCCGTTTTTCTGTGGTCAAAAACATGTTATGATAAGATAACAAAACGTGTACATTAGTCTACATCAAGTCTTTGGAATAAGTCCAGTATTCAGCACAAGGAATATGTTTGAAGATTAATATTGTGTGCCACTTCTGTTCTTGTAATCATTTTTAGCATTGTATGTTGTTAATAAAATAAAAAAATATGAAGGATTTAGCATAATAAATTGTTGGAAATGTGGGATATTTCTTTAATAGAACACATTTTGTTGGTGTCAAAAGCCGTAACCTAACATTGTTAGAAAAGATGCACAAGCATTAATGGCTGAGTTAATGTTATTAATATAAGTTATTGAACACAATTAAGTTCACCAAAAGATGTTTATCAATGACCTCTAGTAAGTCTGAACATTTGTTATCGTGTGCTCTTATGAGTTCAGTCCGTCGCAAATGCGCGGTGATCACTCAGAGGCTAGAGGATGGATCCTGAACATTATCTGGTGGCTGGCCCAAAAACGGTGCTGGCCATATCGCACAAGGTTTGCCCACGGGTACAGCTTGGAGACATGTTATGTTTACCAATCATTATCAGCCGTGGTCAATCCACTGCTGGATAAATGCCCTCGTCGTTGGCATTCACAATTGTCCTACAATTCCACATTCCATCGTGCCTATTGACGATGAGCTAGTATCATTGTTCCATGCTCCGAGTGGTTGAACTCATGGGCATTTGCACTCGTTTTTTTCTATTACCTCACATTTTCAATGGGCAAAGCAATGTGTCCTGCTCAAACCCGCTTACATTACTTAATAGTCAATATGATCTATTTGGTCACTGTGTTCTTATATGTATTAACTAGCTTTATACTGCCCGGCTTCGCCCAAGACTTGGATTCTTGTCTTGGATTAATACATGCGGCGGGTGGGGGGGGGGGATGCGTGACGTCAGCAGGCACACTGCGTGACGTCAGCAGGCACACTGCGTGACGCTGCCGCATGCGGGTGACATCACAGATGTGACGTCGCAGCTCACTTGTGTGAAAAATATATCCATTTTTGTGCCCTCCCCCCCCCCCCCCCAAAATACAAAGTCTATTTTTATACTTTTGCATTGTGTACAGTCTGGAAGCTACCCACATGCCAAATTTCAAGTTTGTTGCAAGTTGGGAAGTATGCTAAACATTTCGAACAGTCACACATTCACAAATTTCTCTTTTTTATATATATATAGATTTGTGTGATTCCCACTGCCGCTCTCCATGATTCTTTGAGCAGTTTTTCCCCATGTTCTTAGTTGGTCCATGTGTATGATCCACATGTCAAATCAAGCAATATACACTGATTGAAAATAGTATTTTTTTTAGCCATATTGATATGTTGATTTTCGTTATCATTATTTTTTCTAAAACACTCCATCCTGCGCTCGCTCACCTCTTTCATGATTTTCATCCTGGTCCGCTTAAATTCATAATTGCCCTCGGTGTACATACTCTTGTTACGTTTTCCTGTAATGTCCGTCCGGTGATTATTTTTGTCCAAAATACTTGTTGTACATGGCTTTTGTATTTCCTAATCTTCAGCCGTATTTTTCAGCCTCCTCTGTTCCACGTGAAACGATGAGTCACTCACTCCAATTCAAATGTACAAAGTCTCGAAATTACTCAGCTGTGCTTCAATCTTAATAGCAACAGTCATTGTGTAAATCTTTTCTAAAAATACCCAGCGCATTATATAAAGAGCTCGTTTCACTGTATAGTCTATGCATTTAAATGTTAGAGATTGTTATGTGTTTTGTGGCATTTGTTGGCCTGCACAAATACAATAAATAACACATATATGCTCTGGCTCAACAGGCAAACATAAACCGGTAGCTAGTGATGCAAGTTTCTACACTGCATCGCTGTTTGCACCATGTATCTTCATGTCCCATTAATCCTCACAACTGAAGGTGAATGTGCATATTGTGATCAGTCTTGTATGATATCCAGCTGCCTGTATCATACATTTCTGTAATTCAGTTTTATACCTTGAAATTTGATGATATTGGGGCTACTGAAGTTAACTATCTGATTCATGCCCAGATGCTTTTTTGTTACATATTTAAATTTAGCATATTGATACAGCTTAGTTGTATCTGCTGTGTTGAAATTTTCTCATAGGATAATAGACGGGGGAAAATGCAGATGTATAAATAATTTTTCATCTATATTTGAAGTGGACAAATAGATTTGAACAGATTTCATATTTCATGAATTTCTCAAATCAGCAAAAAAAAACACTCAGTATTTTTGGCAGATTTATCCTGAGTATGTGAATGTTCAAAAGTCGAAGTGAATTTCCTGCTCAAATGAGTATTGGAGCAGTGCTCTTTTCCTGTTCACGTCCCTGAGCCAGTTGTGAAAATTCAACAGTCATATGGTGGTGGCAAGTCTATCCGTAGGACTAACCCTGTTGACTTCCTCACAAAGTGGTACTCGTTCAAAACCAAATTGCACGGCAATCTTTTTGCCTACACGTGGGTGCAGTGACACATGCCGCGCACCACATTGAAAGCTCTTTATGCCGCTTGACCGATGCAGCAGAATTTTGCGTCAATGTTTTCGCCAAGTTCATGGCGAGAAATCTATTGCGATCGTGAATCCAGATGTGATTGCCGCGGAAGTCCTTTGCTCTCTGAAATCGGAGCAGGACCATGAATTGTTGAAGATGCAGTGGTTCACTGAATCCCTCTGGTCTCTTAAGTGCCAAGCTCCACCAGATGAAAATGGATTATGTGACTGTTGTAATGCACAAAGTAGGCGATTGTGGGAATTGTATAGAACTGAACAATTTACTACTCCAACTCATTTACTTGGAGAACTTTTATTTATTCTTTTTTTAAATATCTTGCTTGAAAGCTCTTGAACATTCAGAGCTTGCATTTGTGGGTCATCTTAATACAATTTAACTTTTTAGCTTTTTCTCCCAATTATATTCCAAGTGTGGTGTCGACATCCAGGACACGATGCTAGGACATTTCTGTGTGAAACTTTCATAGCGAGCAGTGCACCACGTGGCATAGGGGATGACCCTGGAAGGTGACATCACGTAATAACTTCAGAAGTCTCCTGAGCAATAATCTTCAACCGCACAGGAGGCGTACTTATTATATGGCTTGCAAACGGTGTTTGACTTGTGGCAAGCTGATTTTAATGTTCTCAGAGTTAGTCTGCCAAATTAAGTGAACCATTTTTTTTTTCTGATTGTATTGCAGTTGTCATAAGTATCCATTCGGAATGCTTGCAGAGCAGTGCATTAACCTGAGTTATGGAATTGTCCACAGAAGGAGTATTGTAGAACTAACACCTGTTTTGTTGCCAGAAAAAAGGGGAAAACCTATTCTCATATTTTGGTACTGGCAAAGGAGGTCCCAATGTAGTAGCTGCTCACCCCGAGCTTTCATTACTCTGATAGTGCTTGTCTTTGTGCTGTGTACGCCTCCTGGCGTCCTCTTGTCTAACACCGTTTTGAGACTAGGCTTAAAAGAAAGCTGCCTCTGGTGTGGACCAATCAGTTTCAAAGACAATGCATATATTATCAGACTATTTTTTTTTTCGTTCTGACCACAAATATTGTGGTTAATGCAGACATGATTCCTTGTTAAAGGTTAACACCTGTTTTGTTGCTACAAAAAAGGGGAAAACCTATTCTCATATTGTATAACTACTTCTGATATCTTATTTTCACACGAAAGGCAATGCACAGGGAAATGTCACATGGCAAGCAAACTGATATATATTTTAATAGTTATAATGTTTCCAATATTCATGAAAAACTAATTGTTGTGCGGTTATTGGTAAATCCTGAAACTATCAAGTCACTACACTTGAGAACTCCGTTTAAGCACAAAGGTGGGATCTGGATTTGAACGCAGGATCTCAAATGTTACAGGCGAATGAGTGACCTGGCCAACCTTTGATGAAAAACCATATTCGACATGTTTGTTTTATATGTGCATGCATTCATTGGGCACCAGGGTGAGACCATCAACTGGCTATATTTGAGAATGCGGTTCAACCGTGAGTGGCTTCCTGGATTTAAACAATGGATCTAACCAGTGCTGAATCACGGCTCTGCCAGGAGATTCGCTGCCTGAGCCACAGCCACTTCTATGTTTTTGAAGGTAGACTTTTGGTTACGTAAAATGGGGAATGTGATATTAAAATAATCAAATACTGCATATATATAATACAATTTGTATGTATAAGGTCTCTAAATATGAGTGGATTGCAAGACTAGTCATACTAATTGCTTAACTTAGGATATGCCAACTGATGCTTTTTTTCGTTCAGTGGCCAACTTTTCTTTACCCGGATAATATCGACAATATTACTTTTGGGGGAAAATCAGTGTGAAGTGTTCCATATTGGGTATCTGAAAACTAATCGCATATTCTGTCAAAACAGGTTAAATCAAGAAAAGTATAACTGCTGCTCACTGGCCCTTTGCCAAAGTGATGTTATCTGGCACGCAGTGCGATAGAAAAAAATGCACACACACACACTTGCAACTTCAGATTTGGAGAAAAACATCTAATCTGTCACAATTTAATCTCATGCCCGCGTCTTGGACGTTGATGTTTGAAAGGGTTAAATCTACCCTTGTGTTCCCACCTAATGCTAGTGTACTGTAACCTTGAAACCGGAAAATCGTTACAGGCTGTTTATTTTCAGGCTGCAGTGCATGCGGTTTATTAGTAGCCATTACCCAAGAGTGCCGTTCTGACCGTCAGCAAAACTAATTACTGTGGCAGATGTTAGCTTTTCATTACAGCATTAATTATTTTTAATCTCCAACAAGCTCAAAGTAGTGCTTTCTGTCATGTAGAATCCACGTTTTGGTTATTTGTACATAAAACGGCACATGTCACATTGATTTCAGCGTACGACTGGAAGCTTCCGATATGCAAAGCAATGCAATTGCTCATATGGCGAGCGGGTGTGCATATTCTCAAGATGCCGATAAAAGCTCAGCGCGAATACATTAAAGGCGGTGTCGTGGCATTCTATTATTTACAAGTAACAATACTTTCACCTGGCAAACAGTAACTTTAAGGCTTAAATTAAAAGAAAAAAAGTTGCAAGCAGATGCCAGCCAGGAAGCTAATGGCATGATTTATGTAATTATTTTGTCATTTAATATTGTACTTTCAGACGTACAGCACAATATTACCACATTTAAACACAAACTCCACATGCACAATGCTAATGTTGCCCCCTTTTCACGTCTTAGGACTGAACAGAGAATTGGAATTCGGGTTGAAAACCTAATCAGGCTGTAATATACCTGAGAAACATAAATCACACGTTACATTAGGATCTGAAAATGAAATTTGAGAGTTGTTTTTGAAATGTACATTATAAATCGATATTAATTCATACAAGGGTGGCTTTAGGTGATTGATTGATTGGACAAAGAGCTCATTGTGATTGGCTGATCAAGATAAATACTCAATGTAGACAAATAGCCATTACTAATCTGCGTTTCTTCAATTAACAGGAAATATTGTGAGACATGGAACTCTGAGCAGTGGTAACCGGACCCTGCGCCCAGTGATCAGCAGTGATAATAAAATAGAAAGGCAGACTTGCGATCCCACTTGGTTAATAAACTTGGAAAAATGCGTTCACCATCTCGTCAGTGTTTGTCCTTCTGATATAAAATGACTCCCGAGAAAAAGATATCAGAGAGTTTGCACATGTACCTCGGAGGCACAACTTATGCCATGTTTCTCTTTCATGCGGTGTGGAGTTATGTTTTCACGTCGAGGCTGGTGAGTGGTGAACCAGCGGTTATCGCTTTAGGGGTAGTCTAGTGAATATCTGAATCGCTGCCTGCAAACGATCGAAGGGGCAGTGCCATATTATATGGTTTGGAATTGCTGACCGCAGTTGCACGGTGTGGGATATTCTTACATTTCCTTTGGTACAGGAGATCGTCGGATCTGCCGTGAAATGTTCTGATGTGATTCAATACTGGCAGAAAACGTGATAAAAACATAATCCCCATGTTATACCAGCGTAACAATAGAGATAACACAAAACATCTACGAAAGTGTTCATGTTGCATTCATTGACAAACATGATCATTAACAAAGTCGTGTCTCTCTCCCGCCTGCTGTCACCAGGTTAGATTTCTAAGCGAATGACGCCATTCTTTGACCAGAAGAAACTAATTATTGATCAAGACGCTGATACCAACGCATGCCCTGTTTACAACACATGGCAAGAAAAAAAAGCAATTATTTCCCAGTAGAGATGAAACACGTAGAGAGATGATTTCATCAGATTATGAAAAAAGCCTGCTTTCATGGATATAAACATTAAAGAGCTGCTTCTGTACCTAGCGTAAGTTAAATCATTTGATACATTGCCGGATCGCCACTTTGATGTAAGACAGAGTTCATTTAAAGGTATTGCATATTAAACTGGAAAACTGCATGATCGTTTGAAGTGCTCTGTAATTAATGTTTGCCATTGATGTTAGAGTTCTGTTGATTTATCCACTGGAGCCTGGAAGATTGTCCCTACATGATACTGGCTGTAAACAATTTAATTTGCGCCACCTTAATTACAGTTTATATTAAAGTTAATTGCATAAATTAATTGAACCGCAAGTAAATGCTTGCTTTGAGCAGTGATCTTGACTTGATTACATTTTAATTATCCAGATTTTACAGCACTACACTTGCTGAAAAAAATATCCTCTTGTCATCCTACATGCGTTTTTTTTAAAATACTAAATGCAAGTTTTTTTTAAAGCTGGAACTTTTATATTCGCAGTGATACAAAGATGTAAAAATAAAGTTCCGGTTTAAAAAAAAAATCCATTGAAACTTTTTCTCACGCGCAGACATATCGCTGTTGACATTGCGGAAAAAGCAAAACTTTTATTTTTATGGCGGAGCAGACCTCTACCGGCGACGCCTAAATCGCCCTCAAAATCCATTACACTCACAGTAGTCCGTGCAAGACAAATGCGTCACAGTGCACTGGGTTTCATTCCGGCTCCACATGAGTGGGAGAGTTCCCACTGTCAAGCAGTGAACAGACAGCCAACTGCGCAGACAACACCCCGAAGTTGTGTGGCTACAACGCACAACAGAAAGTGAGCATTTGGGGGGTAATCTTGGCTTTTTGATTTGTATCTGTATATTATATTGTTGTTCGATGGTTGTGGTTAGTCCCCCATATTTCGCAAGAACATAAAAAAATACGTGCGGAGCATTTAAATGCAGCAATTGTGCAAATGAATTGGCAAACGTTATTATGTATGGATGAAGGAAGCTATTTGCACGAAAAAAGTGAATGCAATGTTTGTGCCTGTATGAAATTGTTGTTAAGTGTGGCTATACATTCCCCCCCGACAGATGAAGGTGATTTTTTAAGAAGCATCATCGGATGCTATGTTTCCATTGCGGCATTGAATGAGATGTTGTGTGCATTAAATATCCTGAAAAAGTTCTTAGACGTAAAGTAATGGGTCACACAGGCACTTATTATGCACAAGAGACTTGTTTCTAATTGGTTTGCATTTGGTTGTCGGTCAACTTTAGAAAAAATATTTCAGAGATTCACACAACAGCAAAATTGACGTGCATTACTCCTGTTTACATTGTGCCTGCTGCACGCTTTTATTTTAACTGGATGAATGATGCGTCAAACAATTGCAATGGAAACATCGCCCGATACCACGTTAGGTTGTGTTTTGTTGTTGTTGTTGTAAAATTCAACTTGTGTACATAGAGATTAAACATTTGTACGTATATTTACAAATGTGCGGCACGCAAACAAATTACTATTTTCAGAAAGATAAAATCAAATAACGTGTTAAATACTTATGAACTAAGTTATGAATACAACAAATAGTATTACATCTTCAGGAATATTTTAACAAGCTTGCATACAGATTAAACATGTTTGCTTAATTATTTAATTCAGATAAAATATATTGGGTAAAATTTGATGAAGATAAGGGTTATAGACCAAGAAGAATTTCGGGGTTGGTTTGTATTTTAAATGATTAGATTTTTCTTTTTTAGTACAGACTTTATCCAGAGTAATTGCACACGCCAATATTATATATAATGAATGTTACTAATTTAACATTGATATGTTCTGCAAATTGTGTGCACGCTCTGCGTTATGTGCACAAATGTTCACATCAGACATTGTGTTTATAGCATCCGATATATTTGAGTATTTTTAAGAATCTTTAAAGTTTGGCTGATATATCTTTCACTGATGGGAATTTTTTTCTCTTCACATACCATCATATCTTTCGGTATACACCATGTTAAACTGCAAATATTGTGTAAAACCAATGTTTTTATTGCCATTATTAAAGTACCTTGCATAGGTCAATCTGAAGTGAAGGTCAAATGCTTACATGAAGGATGGAGCAAAATCAATGTGCTTCTTTAGCCTACCAACTTTGTTAGTATGCAGGTCACTTCTGCATTGCCTTCAAGCATGTTTGCACAAAAAGCTACACATAAAGGGCAAGCAACCAGCATTTGAATGCATTAACCGAACGTTTGCTCTAATTAAATGCATTCGGGTAGCAAACAGATATCAATAATTCAATGCGCGTGACCTAATCATTGCAAAATTATTTATTTGTTTCCCAAGCCAAGCTTCGTAATATAAAAAAGGTTTTGGGGGGGGGGGGGGGGAAACCAGTACAATGATTAATTCGTCATTGAGTGCAGTCCTCGGCTATGAATAGCATATTAATATTCCGTGCTGTTAGTCTAGACTTGATTCCCACCGTGTTCATTGCTTGTATTAGCTACAGCTGCGTAGTATAAAGCAGACGAGTAGCCGATCACTTTTCTGCACAATTGGACATTGAAAAGGTATGCTCAAAGTAGTATTTCACTTTTATGGCGTGTCCTCTGAACACGCATACAGTTTTCATTATAAATATGATATGCCACGGTGTATTTCAATCGATTAACTTTAGTGCTTTTCTGATAGTGAACAAGGTATTTACTCTGGAAAGAGATGGACAACAGATGTAGGCAGCTGTTGCTGGTGTTTATTCAAGCACTACTAATTTGCCAGCAGCAGAGGGCACAGCAAGAACAGGTTGGGATATGCAAAGAAAGAAGGGCCCACATTAAAATTCTGGGGAAAAGGAATTATTGATTGGCTGAAACCAATTAACAGCTGTGTAAGGGCTTACTTTTCAAGGTTAATTCAGATGTTTAGACCATCAATTAATGCAAAGCAAGTGGAATCGATATGTTTAGGGCACAACTATTGTTTCAGCCGGAGTCGTGGATGAATTGATCGACTTTTCTTTCTTTGAAAGGCACTGATACAATATAGCGTATTGCATCAATAGAGAAGATCACCGGGTGATTGCCAGAAAGCGAGCGAGCAGTTCTGACAGCCTAATTAGAAGCGCACACAAATGGTCTTAATTCACTTTTTGGTTTACCGCTTCAATTGTGTGCCTCCACCGAGGAGACATTCCCGCTTTATAATTCAGCAGCCTGTGCCTTAAGAGAAACGGACAAAAGACATTGGTCTTTTCACCTAAAAAAAAGCTTGGAGCTGGTAAATCAAAACGTTAAAATAATGAGCGGGGACGGGTGCTTGTGTCTGTGTGTGGTGTACCAAGGTGTCTTTACTCACCACGTGGTTCTTAAGAATGCAGTGGAATGCAGAAACCTCAGATGAATTGTATCAAATTTTTTGCCTTCAAATAAAATGCCATCTAATAAAAGCTTTTCCCATCATTCCCTTTCAAGAATAAAAATGGTAGTCACATCGGTGTAATGGAGTGTCATTTGAGACCAAGCACATTTTTGTACTTTTGTGTGAAACTATCTTATTTTATATTAATTAAAGGGCCTGTTGGTGTATTGTATATTATCCTTGAAGAAATTGTATTAACTTGCTTTTGCTGTAATTTGTGTTTAAAATGTTTTTGCCGAAAAACTACCTATTGGAATTGTAAAAACGGAAACATGTCAAAATAACAACTTCTGTGTGTAATTGTTTTTAATACCATTAAATATTGAAACCTATTAACATTTCGTCGTGTTTTATTTTATAGCTACATTACAGCAATGGACACTTAAAGCTTGATAGCCTGATCACTTAATATATATTTCTCGGGATTTGGAAGAAGGGGGAGGGGGGATTAATTTCACGTGTTATCCATACATTGTCACAGATTTAAACAGTAAAAACCCTGGGCGACATGCAAGGAGCATACACCTTCACGCGAATTCGGGTCATCCTCGCAGCGGCTTTTGGCTAGCCACTGAACAAAGGCGGTCACTGCATTGCGCCCTTTCGGATACGCTTCTGCGGCCGTCTGGAACGTTCTTCTGATATTAGGAATCCACTGGAGCTATGCGCTTTCAAATAATGGAGATTGAACACTCATTTCTTTAGACTTTTTTGTGTCTTTTAGATTTCCTTCCCCGACACCTCAAATGAACACAGTTGACTAAGTACGGTGCGAAAAGTTCTACATACATACACTGCACAGAATGCATGTTTTAAATCCTATTGTCATATTTGCAGCATCTTTGCACATGGCCAGTGATGTTCCTACGAAATGTATTGCCCCTCTCTGTTCAGAGCTCGCGTGGTAAGGGAGGAACTCACCTCAGAAATGAGTCGGTCCGTGTGTGTGCAAGCAGCCGGGATGATGCCACAATCCCCGGCAAGAACAGGTACATTCATGTTTGTATGTATGTTGAACTTCTTTCACACTGTACGTAGCCAACCGTGACAATTGATGGTGTGGGGGAAGGACAATAAGAAACACTAAAAGGAACGAAGGGAAAAGCAAGCTGAGTGTTGTACCGTTTGGTACTCAAGTTGTGGCAGCTTGCAAACATCGGTTTTGCTGCGCGAGAGTTAGGTTCGGCATTGTTAATAATATAAAACTTGTTTCGGCAGGATATTTAATATCACTGGCTAACAAATTATATCTGGATTTTTTTTTTGCATACGGCATGAAAGGTTAACTTTTATTTAATTAGCTGTTCACGTTCCTTGCGTGCATTTCTGTTGTGACGGGACGGCGAACTGCGAGTACGGCACTGAGTGAGTGGTGAGGGGTGGGGAGAGGGAAGTTGTCCACGTAAAACCCTGCAAGGGAAATAAAAAATATCCACGTTTCTACTTAATGAAGAGTAATTTGATATGTCAGGTGTCCTTGGGGAAATCTTTATTATGCGGTTAGACAGGCGTAGATTAAAGAATCGAGCCAGAAACGGTGACGGGTCTGTCAGACCGCTCGTCCACAAAGATTGTCTCTGCATGAGTTCTTGCAACTTTTCTACAAATAGTAAACACCCCAAGACAATCTGAAATCTGCATCATAAACAAATTCTAAGTCATCCTCTGTATATGTGCATCATAAACAAATTAGATGCCATCCTCTGTGGTTGTCAGCTGAGTTTTTTTTCTCATTCTGCTGAGAGCAATATCGTGTTTACAAAGTCTTGAGGTTTGGGTCGCCATTACAGCAATGTTGTACACAATTCAAAATAAATTGATTTACACAATTTCGGTGGAGTCAAATTGAACGAATTAAAAAAAAGTGTATAGCCCCGTGTACATCCACTGCTGGATGAAGATCTCCCTCTGTGCTGGTCATCAGAGAAGCAGTGACACCGTGGTTTAGCGTACAGCACAGCGAACCTAGCAGCCTAAGTTTGATTCCGAGCCATGGCTAACATCTGGTGAGTGATATCAGAATCACCTGAAGACGGGCGCTTGTGTTGCGTTCAAAACGTCGTGATTTATTTTATTTTATTTCTACCTACGTGACTTTACCGAAAGAACCAAAGCGTATGGATTCCTGCAGTCACGAAAGCTTCAAATCAAGATTGTACTGACCAGCATGATAAAAAATGGTCAAATAACCCCATGACTGACACAGGATGGGGAGGCCTTCATCCAGCAGTGGATCGTGAAAGGGCTGTAAATCAATCTTACACAATATATCACAAGCATTGTATATACGTAAATAATCTAACATGTTGCACATCAAAGTGTTTATGCCTCCACAGATTCCCATATACGTTTTATGTTTCTGCTATATTTGAGGGCAGCTTCTTTCTAAGGATGAAATGTATTGACTTCTCTGCAGAAATAGAAGTTACGTTATAATTGATGTGTACTTGGTATGGATTCAAAGGCGGCTTAGATCTGCTCTTTGACAAAAAAAAAATCTGCATTCTAAATTTACTTGTCATCTCAGCAAGAACATGTAACCTCCATGAATAATTTAATTATGAATCAATTAAAAAAATCATTGCAGTCTCTTGGCTTGCTTTTGCACACTTTGCGTGCTTGCCTCTCGCTGTTGTTTGTTGACGCAGTGAGAGGCTGCGTTTGTTCGACGCGCGCGCGCGCGTGCCACGTGCCCGCGTGTTGCGCTCTCGCCTCGTCCCTTGCGTCCAGACCGACACGTCCCAGCCGAGATTACGGGGGGAGCGCCGATTGGTGGGGCTGTGAGACCGGAGCTTGCCGCTATGTAGCCCGCCCCTGCTTGAACACCTTTGTCATGTGAGCGCTTCGGGAAACAGCGCACGCTTTTTTTTTGGGAGGTGGGTGGGAGTGTTGGTGGTAGTGGTGGTGGTGGACGGAGTTTTACTTTAATATATGTTTTGCCTTTGGTCGGTGCTGTTGAGTCACGTCCTTCCAATATGCATTAGGCCACTGGGCAGAGGGCACAATCACCTACTGCTGGAGTCTCCCGCCGTACATTTGTTACATTATACAATTGTCAGATCTAAAGTGTGATAGCATTGCCCCCCAAAAAAAGTTTAAAGGCAATTTACATGATAAATGGTTAAATAAAAAAAACCCGTATCAGGCGTACATTTCGAAAAAAACATTTTTTAAACACGCCGTCAGAATCGTCGATGTGTACAAACAGTGTTCAGTACATCGCGAGGCACATCTATTCCTGCTAACCTTTACGAATGCAAAACATTCACAGTTAAGCCTTAGATCAGTGATCTTTATGAGCAGGGTTTGCAATTAGCAAACATGGCTTCACTCCCCAAGGCCTAATTGGTACATCCAGTGTGAAGCAAAATGGTAATAAAGCGACGTATGCGGGCATGCCTGGCGATGTATGTTTTGCTAAAGAGAGGTTAAAATCATGTTATCTGCATCTTAGAACACCGCCGAGGATTTACTCGGGCGCACCCTTGCTTATCCTGGTATCGCCCGTCAAATTCAATTTTTCGGCTCTAGCCCGCTTTATGTTTTGCACTGAATCAAAGATACGGCTTCATTAGGAAATGGGAATGGCGAGGCGTGGGATTAATTATGAATGGCAGAGGAGGATCGAGGGGAGACCGCAGTGGGTTTCTCGCAGCAGTCACCTTGGCTGGGTCTTCACCGTGGCATCGTCCCCACTCCCGCTCGCTCCCCACACTTGCACTCTCTCTTTCTTTTGATGAGATCTGCCGTAAAACGGACCATGAGTGATGGCTTATGGCACCCACCGTGGTTGCGATCTATAAAATCTGTCTTCTGACTTTTATAATCCGGTCTAAGTGGGTCAGGGTGAGCGAAGAAACGGTCCCCCACTAAAAATCAGTTTCAAGCGAGAGGGATTTCTCAAATCTGCACGTCCTCGCCTCGCGATGGGTACTAGACCCCCACGTGTCGCACATAAATGG